CGGGCCCCAGAGATGTGAGCCTGGAATGGCCACGGTCGCTCCGTTCTCCTTGGTTGTCTTCGTCAATGCAGTCACACAACCAATCATCACAGGCAGTTGAGAGTCATGCGGATGATAGTCACTGCTATCCTGTCAGCCTACCAGCCTGGCATAGGTCCCTGCAGACATACTTATCATCACGATGAAGCACCTGCTGCTTGCTTCCTGGTGTCACCCGGAATCCAGCAGTACTGGAGATGATCGGTTTCCCAGACACCGTCACCTTATGATCGCCCCTCCAGAAGGAATAGCTGGATGAGACAAGTGCATTGGCAACGCTGATATAGATCGGATTGCATGCCAAGTCGACGCAGGCATCTGAGATGCCCAGCAAACCGGTAGCACGCTGGGTGGTTGGAGGGAACAAACCGTACTTGTCTGGTATATCTTTATCGAAGTGTGGCTTAAGATCTTGTTTGATCTGTTCGGCTGCATCACGAGTGATAAGGCTCTCTACAATCACGCCTCCGTCTCGACCGATGGCCTCGACGAGGGTATCGGCATCGGTAGCGGTAGCATTGAAGCGTGCGAAGGAAGCCTTCCTATCGTTGGAGGTAGTAGGAGCAATCATTGTGACCAAAAGATGGCAATTCAGATGAATGAATTCGATAGACACAACCAAGAGATGATGCTTCTGTTTCGAAAAACATAGTGGAAATACTCGACCTTATATAGTCTATTGAGCCAGACCCAGAAACTGTACCTACAATCCCTTATTACTACTAGTATTACTATCTACCCCTCTCAAATGCAACACAATACCCCTCGACAAACCATCCCATGAACCTTCTCCCCCCGAACCTCGTATAGACAAGTAAAGCCCAACCCCAATCCGGCAATATACATGAGAAAGCTTATCCCCGCAAAGGATTTTTTCATCCACCCACCCACCCACTCATAGAACTTGAACTGTGGGGTAAGAAGAGAGCCAATCATGCACCGAAACCCATTCGGCATTTGACTTAGTAAGGTGGAATTGAACATTGCATACGCAGTGCTTGCATTCTATTTGTTAAGAATTATGTATTACATGAGATTATTACGAGCCGATAATCTCTGACTGGAAGAAAATCGAGTACAGGCTTACGTTAGTAGTTAGCTTGGGCTTCCGGAAGGGATACTTTATTAGTACTACCAGTAAAATATGTGTTGCAGATTCTCGAAGGGAGGTACTTCTACTTACTAGTAGTACTTATGCTCTAATGGCTGCTTTACCTACTGTTGGTGGGTAACTATATTATAAAGGGGTGTTTGTGCGTGCGCGTGTGTCTGGACTTTTGCGCTATACTAGTTTAAGTTTGGCTGAGAAGAAACTGTTACTAGAATAGTAACTATTCAAGGCGTTCCTAGGCAAGACTCACATAAGAGGAATGATGGAAGCAATGCAAGCACAGTCCATCTCGGAACCTGCAATGTAATATAATCATGTGCTATGAAACCATAGTCAGCCACACACAAGGTATTAAAATGCAACTAATAATAACGCCCATGATACTGGCAACGCTTGCATGGACGGGTTATGGCTACTGCTATGATCTAAACATGTCTAAGCAGGGATCGGACGTCATCGAGACATTTTGACCTGACCAATGGAATTGGATTCAAATGATATTCTTATACCTGATTATGCCCACTAATACACCCTGTCCAACAGGATATGTTGTGTAAGCGCCGTGGTGTGTGTGTGTGTGGTACCGCCAACCCAGCCCAACCAACTAAGCAATTGTGATCAGCGGCTCCGGCCGAAAGGAGCCGCTTTTGGGTGGGGATGTTGTACACATTGCTCCGCGCACTGTGGTTATGAGCACGTGGTGGGAATAGGTCATATTGTCTACGTGGTTAGGTTATTTTTGGTGGGTAGTATTGTTGATAAGTTTAACAAAAAGGCTGCATTGAGGTATGGTATCATGGGTTATTTCAATACAAAAGCAATAATAATCCCCCCAGGAACAGTGGGTTAGCCGTACAATCATAGTATATGTTGTCACAAAACATTGTCGCCTCCATAAATGTGCCGGCACTCGATGAGCGATGTTTGCGATAAGAAGCCAAACGGTTCTTTTGTATACAGAAAACATGAATCCGTGGGACCAGCCCGATCAAGCAAGGTTGTCAGACGATTCAGGTGTTTCACCAAATAACAACTCGTGTCTGTCCCGCCAGAAGTCCGTTATCTCTTTCATATATCCTGTCTTCTGAAGAGGCAATTCCCATTCCGGGGTATGCGCTTCGGCTACCTTGAGGTAGGGGTCCATAATCTCGTCGAACCGATCTGGCGGTGCTCCGGGGAAATGAACAAGGAGATCGCCATGATGTACTTGCGAGTCCACGGGACGATCGGGGTTGAGGTCCACAGCATCGGCGTTTCGCGGGTAGGCATTGAACCATCGCAAGGGATAAAAGACGATAGAACGGCGGAAATATTCGTGTTCAAGAATAACATTGTCCATGGCGGACTGGTCTGCAAATAACAGGCTAGCCTCGGGATGTGATGTTGGGTAGGCAAGTGTAGCAGAAAGCAATTCGATGGCCCACTGATTGACGCGGATAAAGAAAACTCCGTTGTTCATGCCGTTCCAGTCGCTGGTCATGAGGAGATGAGTATCGTCGAATTGGGGAGGTGGGAGGAAGATGTCGAGGGGAATGTTGGGGTTCATAAGGACAGTGTCTCCATCAAACCAACTGTTTGTTGGGAACTTTGGTTAGTTTACGGTAGGGATAAATGAGTCTTCTCACATGCTGGATTGGCAAACTCACAATAACCATTTTGCTTGATCTTCTTCTGGCTTTTCCATTTCTTCAATGAGTGCGGATAGGAGAATGGCAGGTTTACTCCAGTATCCCCCCAGGATGGGTTTGCGCAGAACGGTCATAGGATATCCGAATTTGAGTGAGTGATCCTCATGGGTCTTTAAGCCTCGATAATAAGAGGTTCGGTTACCATAGACCATAGTGACCTTGCGGATAACAGGTTGAGGCTCTGATATTTGCGCCTCATGGGGGCTTTCTGGGAAGGTCAGCCTTATATGAATTACAACGTAAATTGGAATGAAGTAAACTCACGGAATTGGGAGAACATCTTCATCAGGCCAACAACGACCATGAGAGCCATCACCACATTAGATAATGACCTGAGCCAGAATCGCTGGCTCCGGCCCATCGTGAAGTATGGACGGTGCATAATGGGTTCTTTCATTCTGGTGCCATTCCTGGTGGGCGAGATCACAATAGAAGTGTGAAAGCATGGTGCGCAGTTTAGGGCGGAGAGGGCACCCATATAACCAAACCAATCCACAGTCTACCCTGAACAAGTAGCAGGGTAGTCACTACAACCCCAACGGATAGCATGGGTATTTGGGGTCCTGGCCATTGATTGATCGCGGGATGATGGCGCCGGTCCTGCAGCTAACCTATGGCCATTGTCAAATGTGGTAAGAATCTGCAGGATGTTGGCTGCGCGCCGCTCGCCTCCATCTGTTGATTGACAGACAACAATGGGCCGCGGATGCCCTTTTGGGGTTAGAGATTGCTTAGGGAGGGGATCCGGCCTGCTCGGATAGCGACTAGGCCAAGCACTAAATAGCGGCTGAGCCGAATGGTTCTGGCCGAACTGAGGGGTGCACGAATGGTAGAGGCCTATCAAGTCAGCTGGGAAGACCGTGCAGGGGTCCATTGATGTAGGGATATTGTAACACCGAATGAGATTGTTCGACGTAGCGCGGAGGCAGTGTGATAGCACCGCTTGTTTTTAGTGCCACCCATTAATTAGACTAAGGGTCCCATCCTAATATAACAATTACCCCTCGTGCCTTTGCTAACCGAAATGCAACCGGAAGATCGCCGAGGGCGCCTGACCACAGGAGAGAAAAGCAAAAAGGGGATATGTCAGCCTTACCATTCGCAGGATCATGCACATGCGTGAAAGATGACAAGAATTGACACTTTCATGAAGAAACTGAATATAATCGCAGGATCTTGTCGAGCCGATCGTCCGAGTGCGAAGGAAGAAGAGGGACAAGTGACTTCCGCGCGCTAAACTGGCAGCTCGGAATAGCTTCCCTCCCCGGAACAGTTCGGGGCCTAGTTGGCCCGTGGTCATAGGCCAGTGCTCTCCATTCTCTGTTAAGGATTCGCTTGAGTTTAGCTTAGCTCCAGGACGGGCCGGAATCCACGCGGGATTCGGGCGGATTTATGATGCGTCTGTTTTTTCGGAGGTACATGAACATGTTCAAATTTCATTGACAAGAATGCTCAACGATGAACTTGTAGGTGTGAAAGTATTACAATGACTAAGATCACGACTTTAATGAGTTGCTGGTCCAAATTATTCCCCGACTAACTCCATGAGGCTGGTAGTTAACTGATGTGTGTCCCTAAGCAAAGACTAATGCTGCACGTGCAAGGTACCGTTGACCCCGGGGCCAGTTGCCCTGGCCATTAAGCGCATAGACCACGGTGGACGGCTAAATTAATGGTGTATGGATGGTGTGATAATTGTTACCGTGTAGGGTGTAGGTGGTGTACTAAAGTTGGCGGCGCTTGTTAGTTTGTTATGAGCGTAGTCTAGTTTCTGGATAGTTGCGACGGCCTAATGCAGCCATTAGTGCGGTCCTGGACCCAACGTTCATTTCTCCGTGATAATAAACCATGACAGGGCTGTGTTTCATCTTGATTCTGGGCTGTGTGCGCTGATCAGCCAGTGGAAAGATCTGGTCGGTCTATCTTGTTTCTCGAGATGATATTCTTAGTACGCTTCATGTGGTCGGGGAAAGTGGTTATTCCCGGCCCTTGTTACAGACTTGATTGAGGGCTGTATGTAGTCGCATAAACAATGGTATTTTTCCGTGAAAACAAATATATTCTGTAGGCTCTATTATCGTGCTACCCAGAAATTTAGGCGATAAATATGTACAAAGATAGAAAAATACATTAATGTGAGAGTTTTCTGTAGAACTTTATTTTTACCTCTCCCCCATCTCCACAGGTGATGAGGCCCAAGCATCACCAGGCATACTCCTATATCCTGGCAATTCTGCTGGTTTTGCATTTCTTGCGACAGGTGGATAGTATCCATATACAGCGACCGGCTGTTGACTGCTTATGGCGAGTCGCTTTCGTTGATTAAAAAGGAACAAAGCGAGAATCAAAGCAATAATGCCAACGGCACCCACACCGACACCAATGCCAATTCCGGCTTTTGCACCAGTGCTCAGCGCATCATCAGATGCTGCATTATTGTCCTCGGTTGTTGATGGAAGGGAAGTTAGAGTGGATGAGGAGGTGGATGCGGTTGACGTAGATGTCGCTGTTGCAGTGGCCGTCACGGGATACTTGATCTCCCAACCAACTATATCAATCGCTCCCACGGTCGAATCTGTTGTCAATGTCGTTGTTGCTATAGACCACGCTGTATGGTCGCTTAATGGCGTTGATCCGTATGTCAAAGTCTGCCCGGAATAGACGCTTGAGAGACATCTTCCGGTCACTTGTCCGACTGTTCCCTGAGACAGAAAGTAGCCTCTGTTTACAATTTGTTAGTTTATGATAAAGACATCCTCAGGTTTGACATGGACTTACGAAGGACAACACATCCATAGCGTGCTGTATTCGTTCTTAATCGACGACGCGACCGTCGGCCATGATAGCGGCCCAGTAAATGGTCCAATGTCCATCTGCGTATGATATTGTCCTCCAACCCCAAGCAAATTCTGTTCCCATTGAGTCACCATCTGGGGAGGACAGCATCGAGCATTGGTATCTATGTCAAGCATATACCCAGGATCCCAGGCCATGAGACTAGGCCCATCAAGGCGAAACTTGCTTTCGCACCCCGAGGAAGCCGTCCATACTGAGGTGAGTGGCATGTATGATGTGACGGTACCACTACTATCCGTCTCAGGAGGATAGTTGGACTCTGTTGTGTCCAAGCTGACACTCATTCTGGCGATATATGGTGAGTTTTCGTCACGATATCCGTATTGTCGCATCGGAGGGTCTGTCCAAATCCGTCTGACGACCCGCTGATACAGACAGAGCGCGTTTGAATTTGATCGCACTGTTGTGAGGGGAGGAAGGTCACGGCAGCCGCAATATACCGATGGCAAGTTTCAGACCCCTTAAATCGTCGCAGAAGACCCAGTAGCAAATGTCGGGGCACCATCCTCATATAAGCAGTGCTTTAAGCGCCCACCACCTTGCCGGGAGCGTCTTGGATCCAAACTTACACCAATTATGCCTAACGATGCAGCTACCAACCCGATCGACATTGCGAGGGGTGCTCAATACTGATTGCCAATTGCTAAGCGCCATAGCCACAAAGAAGGCATACACCACTATACCTTTTCAGCCGTTAGAGCTATGAGACGGTGACCTGTAGCAATCACATTCAGCGGCGCCAGTCTAGCGTTGATGCTAACGGATAGTAGCCTTACCCCCGCCGGCTACACTGATTTAGCCAATGAGGGAGCCGTGAACATGTCCGAGCTGTTAGATATGCTAGAAGTGGGGATGGCGGGTGCTGCACGCAAATTGGAGCCATCCTGTAGCCGCCAGCACGTCCATGTGTGCGCCGCATTTCCCCTGATCCGTGCATGGTTCTGGGTAAGCTTTCTCCTTTCAGGGAATGTTGTTAGACAACACACCTAGCATGGTTTCTGATCGGTTATCGAATCGCGACTTCCATACTTAACCACTGATTCCATGGCTTGTAGCGACACAGATAGTCGAGGAAATAAGCGCCGACCGTATGCACCAACTCCGGACGCTGGCACTTGGCGCTATTTGTTTCCATCCCCTTCAAAAGCTTTGGCATCTCTACTTGCAATATTGGCATTAATCGCAGGATGGTACCTCCACTTTTTGAGCCTAGATACGCTGCTAGGACCATCTCCTTCCGTTCACAACGACACCTATTGGGAAAGTCATAGAGAGGAGGTTCGAACATCCTTCACTACTAGCTGGGATGCATATGCAAAGTATGCCTGGGGTGAGTGTTAAACGACATAGCGACTTAAAACCACAGGCCATTGAATTTTCGAGCAGGACAAGATCGTTTCCATCCATTGTCAAAAAGGGGCTCTCAGATGAGCCCCAATGGCCTCGGATGGATAATCGTAGACAGCCTGGATACGCTCATGATCATGAATCTCACAACTCGCCTGTCGGACGCACGACAATGGCTTGATAAGAATTTGACCTATGATCAGGACCAGGACGTGAATACATTCGAGACCACAATACGTATGCTCGGAGGCCTGCTGTCCGCTCATTACCTATCCACTCAGCTTCCAGATGCTTCCTCCGGGCGAGACTCCGTTTATCTGTCTAAAGCAGTCGACTTAGCAAATCGACTGCTCGCAGCATATGACTCGGGGTCGGGGATCCCTTATGCCAGCGTCAACTTAGCGAAACGAGAAGGAATCCGCTCGCATGCTGATGGCGGTGCCTCATCTACCGCCGAAGCAGCTACCGTGCAGTTGGAGATGAAGTACCTATCCCATCTAACAGGGGACGATGTGTATTGGAGTAAAGCTGAAAGGGTGATGGAGATACTCGATAGCCACAGCGTGAAAGATGGACTTGTACCCATTTTTGTGCATCCGGATACTGGGAGGTTCCGGCATAAGACGATCCGGCTCGGAAGTCGTGGCGATTCGTACTATGGTAAGTCCGCATGACCATTCCACACCTTGAATACAGGCTCATATAGACACAGAATACTTGGTCAAGCAATACCTGCAGACCAACGAATCCATCTACAGGGAGATGTGGGAAGAGGCACTCGCAGGGATTCAGAAGCACCTTCTTACCTCCACCAAGCATTCCAACCTCCAATACATAGCAGAACTTCCAAGCGGCATTGGGGGTCGTCTTTCCCCGAAGATGGACCATCTCGTTTGTTTTCTCCCAGGATCCATTGCAATCGGTGCTACGGAAGGGTTGACCGAAGCCGAGGCCCGCAGAACCGGACGCTGGAATGCTCGAAAAGAAGAGCAGATGCGTCTCGCAAGGGAGCTAACGAAGACATGCTGGGCGCAATACGCCGTCACGGAGACGGGGCTAGCACCGGAAATTGTATGGTTCGAGACAGAAGATTCCGACCTTGAGCCATTTTCCAATTCAAATGCGTCTCGGCCCCCAAGCAGAGACGACATGAACTCCTGGATTAAGGATATCAACATCCGATTAATAGATGCCGATAACTTGCAACGTCCAGAGACTGTGGAAAGCCTCTTCCTAATGTACCGTGTTACGAAAGATCCGATATATCGACAATGGGGATGGGAAATTTTCAAGGCGTTTCAAAAGCACACGCGGGTAAAGGACGGAGAGGGTTATACTTCTCTTAGTGATGTCACGATTGTTCCTCCGAAGAGGCGTGATAATATGGAGAGCTTTTGGCTGGTATGTTGAGGCGCTGGTACACGATATGCGCATGAGAAGCTGACATCTTCCAGGCGGAAACCTTAAAATACCTCTATCTCCTCTTCTCACCAAGTGATTTTCTCCCATTGACTGAGGTGGTGTTCAACACCGAAGCTCATGTGTTTCCACGTCTACGTCAGGCAGAGTACAAGACGGGTTGGACTAGAAGGCGGAGGACGTGAGACTTGTAGCTTCCCATGGCATTGAGAGAGTGATTTTCATCAAGAGCGGAGTGCAAGCATGCACGTCTGAGCTTCAATATAGGTATATAAGAGGACAGAACCATGGGAATACTATATATCCACCTGGCACATGTATGCTATGGCAGCAATCGGTGTAGAAGAAATAATCGTCCTTTTTTCGTCTGCGTTCACTAAGCGTTTCCGATGTAAAGGGTCAATGCCTGGCATTTTTGACTCGTGATTGGCCAAAACCACCCAAGATCCAAAAGGTATCAGACGTCACATATGCAGAATCCGGGTTCGAATTTCTGCCGATGTATTGGGAGACTAGACCAGCGCCGCCCACAACCCGAGATAACAAGCTCAATACAGAATAAGACCATACCGTATTGCCGAGCTCAACTCGAACGGCATCTTCAGCATATGCAACAAACACCGTTCCAATACCTCTCTTTCGCTAGATGACTTGAGCATGTAGCGCTTTGCATACATGGCAAGAAAGGTGCGAAGATTGTTGGTATCTCCCGACGGGACCATCATATAGCCGGCAACCTCATGCGACAGATTCAGTGCATCTCCGGGGAGGTATACGTCGCTCATGCGCGATATGGCCCGTCCAAATCGGGGAACGAATAGATGAAGCATCGATTTGAGATACTCATAGTCCTGGAAGGAGGCTTGCTCCATACCGGTTCGGCCGAGGATTAATAGGGTGCTGACGCGGGACATTAGAGAGGAGATACCATGGTAAATATTGACAGCAAGCAGAATTTAGATCGAGGAGAAAAAGATTTAGGTACACATACACGTAAGATACATTCTCGCTGCTTGGGGTATCTGCATGGTCACTGTATTTGATCAGTTATTGTCGTTCCGACTGAGATGTCAAGGTCGGAAAAAGACCCACCGTGGAATTTCGGCGAACAGTAATGTAGGGATAGAAACATTCATCAGCATCTTTTCTACAAAGAGCTGCTTTGGTATGTACGCATCTTCCTTCCCATTGACGGATTTCAGGGTGCGATCAATGAACTGATACTGTGAGGTGGGTTGATCTGGGCTGTCGTCGAAAATGCTAGCAAAAACTCAGTAATCAGACCGACAGGGGCGCGTAATCGAAGGAAAGCGCATTATCGGGATTTAGTTTGCTTTGCTTGCTTACATCTCTCCATGAGTATTCTGTACAAGAACTTTAGCCTCCACCGAGAAATTGTCAGGAGGGGGTAGTTGAGAATGACCTCCATGAAGAAATAAATATCGCATGGAGCCCTTCCCACCCGATGCGTACAACGCATCGTCCGAGCAACACATATCAGGCATTATGGAAGTCGTAATTCTCACAAATATGGGTGAATTAGACAGCCGGACAGGTGCAGGTATCTATTTCGTGGTCACCGTATCGTTCGCGGCATTCCCATGCGGAAGCGTGATGATCACGGGTATTTCGAAGAGCTGACAAACAGATACACACGTGGCCCCATCCCACTATTCTATTTATATAATAATGAGGAGAGTGTCCCGTAGTACTAAACATCATTAGCTCAATTATTCTTCTCGACTGGGGAGCACGGTTCACCGCAGGCTCGGAAGCTCGGATGGCTCGGGGCGTCGCCACAAAAGGATTGAATCGCCTCCTTCAACGTTAACTCACTCTGCGTTGTTCTGTAACTTCTATCGTAAACTCATCCAACTGAGTCTCAAAATCTCAACCCCGGATTCATCTAGTGGGTCTGGTCACTAGCTGGCTATGCCAGGATGCGCAACTGGCCCGCAATAAATGTTCAAACTCTGTCGCAGCTGAAAAGAAACAAGAATCAAGCCACAAATCAGGATACACAGACGTCAAGGATTCCTTATCGACATAGTTAAGGGCTGCTCAGAGCCAGGGGACCAGCGACATGGCATTCCTTGATATCAGCTTCGTAATAATATGCGCATGGGAAAAAGGAGTGGCCATCAAGCCAGACCACTTCATGTCGGAACATTTAGTGGGGATAAATAATTCTTCCTATCATGATTCCGGGACCAGACATACCGGCTCAGATGGACAGTGTCGTGCCAAAGCCAGTCAGCCAGAACTGCCTGCAGGAACAGTGCAGCGCCTGCCACACTATTGCCCTGCGACAACTTCTTGTGATTGATCGCGTAGTCGCACACCTCCGTGATAACAACAGTAGGGAATGCATTCGAGTCCCGCTGGTTTTTGCCCAAGTTCAGTCATCCTATATCTCTGCGGGTATGAGAATAGGGGCTCACAGATTGGCTTAGTGTGAAAGCAGACCCGCGTGGCCTGTAGGGCCTTGGCATGATGTTAGCCTCGCAGGGGTGTTGGTCATCACCTTCCTTCAATATTGTAGTAACCTCACTTCGTCGGCAAACGCCCAAGTGGATGTGCCTGCGTTTTCATTGTAAGACATTCTTACTGTTATCATGTGATGACCGGTGTTTAATTCTCAGCTGTTAATGAGAGCGCTGGCGTTGAACGAAGCTGAACCACTGACGACGTAACCTCGGACACGCTATGAGCTTAGACCCGAGTTGATAACCTTTAGTCAAGACTACTAACGCAGGCTTTCCCGCTATGAATATATAATCCCACAAGTGTCGCTTAGGATTACCACATCCACTTTTCATTCACTTGCTCGCCACATATCCTTGCAAATGTGGCGCAGCTTCCGCCTCAGCTGCTGGAAGAACACCCTGAACATGAGGGGTACAGTGCCCACTACCCAGTATACATCTGCAACTGGGTCGCATCCACCGACTCTAAACTTTTATACATCCTCTAAATACTTTCCACCACTGTCACCCACATGGCCCTGCACTTAGAGCCCAACGGTCTCTACCTCCTCCTTGCAGATCGAGAGTCCAGCTCGACATTCCACTGGGGTCTCTGCCTTGCCAAATCCCCGACCGATGGCACCATTTTCAATATCATCAACTTCCCCAATCGAAATGTTTACAGCTATGAGATCAAGTCGGACCAAAAGGTCATCACTTCCAGGCAATACCTTCTGGCGCTGAAGGTGGGAGATCTGCACCCCGCACTGCACGGCCCGCTGGAGACCCGCTTGTCGCAGATCCCCATCCAGTACTCGACGCGCTTTCATGAAGCCATGACTTGTCGTGTTTGGGTGAAAGAAGCCCTCTTCGCGTTGGATGACGAGGGTTTTATTAAGCTTGTTGAAAATATCAACGGTATTGAAGCGGAGGCTAGGTTTGCTGCGATGTTGAATAAAGCCAATGGGAAAAGAACTGTGGGCAAAAGTCGTGGATATGTCTTGTGACGCTGGAGTTGGATATTAATGGTTGGTGATTAAGTGTTGATATGTGGATTTTAGTGACTTGCTGATCGATAGTGCTTGACAGTACAGTTCTTGGAGGCGATGTTTATGTCTTCACTGCTTGATATGACCTTACTACCCTGTCTCCTTGAGTATTGCGACCTTCATTCTCCTCTCAGCCGGAATAGAGGGGATGAAAGCCCATAGTAACCCAGGGTACTGAACCGCTGAGTAGAGCCAAGTCCTCAAGTAAATGGGGGTATAGTAATTGACAAGTCGTGCATAGGAAGGGAGAGGGTGGTCTCGTGATCTAAGAGTCGGCCAGTTTCCCCGCATTGGAAAGGGCTGTTTTGGACTTTCTCCAGCTTGCTCTGTTTTGAATTCGTCACTCAGCTCATCCCCTATTATCCCATCGTGTAATAGAACCTCTTGAGGCGCGCTCTACGGCCATTAATGAAAGGAATAAACATAAGTGAAGAATGGGGTAAAAATTTATTACCTAAATATACAAAGTAAGATAACTTGAAGAAATACTTTATATAAGCAGCTTGAATATTAAGTGTATAATTAATTTATATAAGTATGTTAATATAGTCTTTGAGAAATATATATAAAAGAATATTAGACGAGATTAAAGATGTTTCTTATGTAATCTTTTATATATTTGAGATTATTTCTAAGATATCAAATGGAAGTAATTAATGGGATTATTTTGAAGAAAATCTAGAACTATATACATATATATAAAACCGTTTTTCATTTAATAATTTAATAGGACTGTCTGCACTTCTGTTACCAGTAGCGAGAAAAGCCTATTCCTGAATAATGATAATTGGGAGTCTGGGCACTGCTCGTTCCTTGCTGCGTGTAGTAAAGCTGTCCTTGACGGCTGGCCAAGTCCTCAAAATCTGGTTACCGTAGTCAAGTAGGATTCACCAGTCGACCCGACATGGAGGAAGATGACCTGGAACTAAACAGTGGAATATAAAAAAGGCTGAGCTAGTCCAGTGACAGAATGACTAGTGTATGATTGGAACATCCGGTTCTGTCACCCCCATTCTCTTCAAAGTGGCTTTCTCCGACTCACTGAACCTCGGTTTCACGTTATATTTTAGTGCCATCCTATTCAATGGCCTCTGCCAATGAACCTGAGCTGTTTGTCCTGCAGCAGTCTCTCTGAAGTCCTTCGCATATGCCAGTTCTTCGTTGTCCCAAGCTGCATCTATAACTTGTTCAAGATCCTCAGACTTCGAGGTGCTAAAGCCTAAAAGGGATCCCACGGCATTGTTAATCTTGTCGGTGACATGATCGAAAGGGCCTTCAATAGTCAAGTCAACATGGGCCTCCTCATGTGCTGTAGACAGATCCAGAGCAAAATACCGCCCCCATCGTTGGGATAACATTGCGGTCCAATACGCATGCCTGAGAGCATTTTTTCTCGGGATGTCCGTGCTCAGTAACTCCCTATGGAAATCCCTAGCTTTGTTATTGTAGTCCCTAACCTCAAACGCCACAGAAACGAATAACATATTGTAATAGTCGAAGAGGACACTGATCTCTTGGGGTGAAACAGGGAGGAAAGGGAGGAAGAACCAGTAAGGTGCCTCGCTGACAAATTTCCAGGCTGGAATATCATCCCGCGGAATTTTGTGAAGTTGTCCTATATTTGGCCTCTGAAGTAGGATCCACTCTTTGATGTAACTTTTGAAGCTTTCCTCCGTCACATCTGGGAGAATAGAAACCACATCGATGCTAACGTCTGAGACATAGTATTTTCCATCAACGGGCTTTATGACAAGCTCGTTGCTCCTTTCCAATTGATTGCTGTGGATTGCTAAAGTTGATGTCCCAAATGAGTCAGTTGGGATATTGTCGTAGCGGTCCTCGATCTTATTTCCGTTGAGGTAAACATCGATGGACGTATCCGATTCCCGCCGGTTTTGAATTTTGATCACGCAGTTTCCTATTCCCAACAGCTCTTCCCTGACAGTGAACGTAATCTTTGACCAAGATGACCCGCCCTCCAGAGAGAGGTACGGATTACCTTCCCTGAGACTATCCTCTAATTTTCCATCATTATATGATGATCCGGATGATAGCCCAAGGGCATACATGGAATTCTGCTGTCTCAGGTATCCGTTCTCATTTCTGAATACCAAAGCAGCATCAGAGAAGCAGTAGGTGCCGGAAACGCCTTGAGAGAGTGTGATGGAGAGTCTGTTCTCTCCAGACAGCGAGGATAGTGCCAAAGTGGATATACTCTCCACTTTGAAACTGGTAGGCGGGGCGTAACTCTGACTGACATTTTGATCGTTCAATTTCAAGTCGATAAACCCTCCGGAGCTATTATCCCTCATGTGATTGAAGATCACCTCCACGGTGCCGTTTCTCTCTCCATCCATGGAGTACGGAATGGAGAAGGAAATGTCGATGGTTCCGCTGGAATCCTCGAGCGCCAGGTAGTTCTTCCCAGGTCTGTAACGGTTCTCAATGAGCACGTCGCTGTTGTAAGTAATCGCGGGGACGGACAATGATGTGTTTACAATAAAGCTTTCGAACGATGTTGATTTGATCTCCAAATTCGTGGCAACGGAGCTAATTGCAATCGTCTCATCAACAACAACATTGCTGAGGTACCTGCCGCTGTCCAGTTTGAGGATTTTGCCATCGAAGATAAAAGTTGCTCCGGTTGTAACACCGTCACATCGGAAACTAGCATTGTGCAGATCAATGAATTTTCCATTAGGGCCTTTCAAGCAGGTTCTTCCAGCACCCATTGGTACCATGAAGAATTTGCAGGAGGGATCTAGATCGACTAGGTCGAACCTCAAATTCCCATTGGTGGACTTACATGAGAGATAGTTCTCATTGGGATCTTTGAGTGACACGGTCTGGAAAATCATTTTACAATGGCTCCGGTAGCAGGGTAATAAGCTTCTGTATTTAACGGGGGATATGATGTAGTAGACAACCAGAAGCAGATCGAAGAAAAGTGAGGTTGGAAACTGGGGAGTGGGGATGGACAGTAGATTGCCAGAGGTATGATACCATCCACATTATATGACAGCAGATGCTTTCAGTTTTCATGGTTGGCTCTAATTCACACTTACATATAGTGAATTTTCAAGCTAGTCTACATATGCCAGTGCTTCCACTGCCGCAATGTGTAATGGCCAAAGGATCTTCCATCATCGAGGTGATCAAGGCGGATGACAACGTATCATATCCCATCACATCTAATCACATTTAATCACATCGCATCATACCCCACAAATCACATCTTATCCCATCTTTTTCCTTGGCGATTCTGCGTATCATTGGCCCTCTATTTAGCTAATGACCTAATCCTTCGCTGATCAAGCACACGTAAGCTAATATAAACAGGTGGGGCGACTGGTATGTTCCCCGCAGTTTTATCCACACAATTGCACTAATATTCAGCTCTCATCGACATTCTCATCATGAACTGCAGCTTTCCAGCCCACCCTCTTGTCTAAGCGTGGTTATTTAAAGCATCAGGTCAACTCCACTAAATCTGAACCAACCCGTCAGATTCTATGGACTCCCACTGGAAGGTAAGATCATTCCGCGCTGGGATTACTTTGCCACTAATATATTACATCTAGTTTATCGACTCAAAGTAGTATCAACAATAAATGCACCAGACCAGTCATCTTCCACTAGTAACAAGTGAGTTATGCTGCAATAACCAAGGAACCAACCTGTTAATGTGAAATACAAGATGGCAGTTATCAAAGTCATCAATAATTCCTCAACGGACATTTATGTCAGTGTTCAAGCATCTGCCGAAGATGCCAGTAATGGGGCCAGCGAGGCCTGGTACACTCTCAAAGCCCACGGAGGGAGTGACACCTGGAATCATAGGGCTCATGAGCGAGTTGTATTTTTCACCAGAAGCTTGACTCCAGGGGCACTGGTCGAGACGGTTTTTGGTGTACCAGGAGAAACTGTGAACATCTACTAGCAGGATTTGTTACTCATATTCACTTGAATACATAACGTATTTGTTACCGCATAGCAATGCCATCCGAATCTGAATATAAGCATAGGTTGCTTGTAATCTGTCAGCAGCGTATCCACAGTACTAAATTCTATACTAAATGAACTTATAGGTGAGCAAATCAGCTGGAACAAGGAGAAGAGAGAATAACATCACGTGACATGTGATCCTACTCAAGCGAAGGGTCAGTGTGTCAAGGTGAGCACGAAACTTCCTAACACTACGCTCACATGCATTTGGGGTTATCAGCAATCCGGGAAGTAGTGTAACAAGTCTTGCAGATCACGTCATGGATGAGCACTTGCCTTCAGCATTCAAGGTGGTATCCCCATGGTGCAGCTACAGTAGGCTGGTGATTAAATGTCGTCAATGGATCGGCGTCTCTAGGCTTTGATTACTGTTAGACTTGCAGCAATCTTGCGCGCTAAAATTGGGAACAAGCAATCAATGACTCGCGCGAGCCTCGGGCCAAGAGATCAATGGGGCTTCCGGTTACCCTCTCATCAGCTGTGGAACAAAGCATCTTACCTCCATCCATGTTTGTTAGAGTGCGGAATGAATCAATATAATAAGCATATATTATTCTCCACTTCCCCTCTTTTCCCCCTTATGAAGTGTCATATCCAGATACGCCCGTCCACCCAGTTCTCTATCACTTGAAATATATCCGAGGGGGAAATGCAGCTGAGTGAATCCTACTTTAGACCGTCAACTGTAAGCCGAGCGAAGTAATAGCTGCACATTCTTAGAGAGTAGACGATGACAGGCCGCTGGTGCTAGGTGTTGGCACTCTATCATTATTACATCGAATGAACCGTACTTCAAATGAAGTTTTAACGCGAAAAACGTTTTCTACGCCCCGTAAGCAGGAAGCACCAAATCCGGTAAGACAACTTCCGAACCAGACGATGTCCAGCTGAACTGTATAGCAGCTAGTTTGGGCGAATAGGCCGTAAACTAAGGCTGAAATTGTTGCGTGATTTTTTGTGAGGTCGACATTATTGGTTTATTACTTGGCATAATTGCCGCCTCAAAGTCTACTGTATTGTATGTGATAATGTGCTTGACAAAAGGAGGAAGCAGCCTTGCCGTAAGTATCATTGAGCTTGCTAGTCGGATAATTAGGGGGTGGTAACTAAAGACGGCGCTCCTACTTCATGAGGGGTAAAGGAGGGGAAGTGGAGCTTATGATATTTTAAACTAGACTAGTATATATTTGAAGAGATATGGAAGCCTGATTGAACTCAAAGTACGGAGTAGTGTGGTTCACTTGATTTGTGTAATCACACACAGATTAGAAAACCTTAGAATGCCTAGTGCAGCAGGTGATGAGCATAAGAGGTTCTAGATAGATCAGCGCTCATTTCAAGATAGTATATTAGCGACATTATCTAAGTGGTTCCGCTCTTAATAGGGCCCCACCTGGACACCATTCTTACCGTAGAGAATCGGAGAACACCGCATAACGTGTAATTAAACAAGAATGGGCCGACTAACTCCGAGCTAGGGGAAATCACCAGACCATGGCTAGGGAGACAAGTGGAATTGAGTCACTCATGAGAAGCCGGAGAAGCAATACCATATAGGAGACCGACGCAGATCGATTTCCTTTCATACATATTGATCCCGGAATACAACTCAGCCCGAGCCCAACGGATACTGAGCCTGCCCTTACTTCTATTCACCTTGTCTGACTACTATCCAACATTCAACGCATCATGATGTCTTCCTTTTCGACAGAGTGGGAAGTGAGCAGTCTTACCGTGAATACTGGTACAGCAGATGGAGCCACTGACACGCTTTATGCCAACGGAAGGATGCAAGTACCAGTTTATGTTTCCATCAGTGCTATTGATCCGGACAAGAATGTTCCTTACAGCTTGACGGAAGCTGAGCTGGAATCTATCAAGCTAGTGGATTACTACAGCACAAGTACTGAATTATCGGGTGACTGGGTCTATTCTACAATTGAAAATGAATTTGCCCACTCGGGGACTACATCACTTTCTCTACGGAGTACCTCTCAATCCATAAAGTTTTGGGTTTCCACGTCCAAAGTCGAGAAGAAGAGCATCGCTGCTAGTGTCAAGCAACCTGATGGGAAGATCGTCACCACTCATGAAAGTGGCTTTGATTACCATGCCACTCTTGTTGGAAACCCACCAATCAACTATACAACCGACAACATCACAATCCAAGATACCAAAAGTGGTGATGGCAGTTCCGGGTCATACTCATGGTCGCTATTGAATTACTATATTTCCACCAACGATCATGATCTAGCCAAGGCCGACCTCTTCATTGAACAAGCCGAATCGCTTTTTTACAACCGGGATCATATGGTCGCTAATTTATACACGGCTGCGACACCTTCGTCAGTGTATAATCTCCTATATGTGTGGGAGTATGGTGATCAGGCGACAAAACTCCTTGGTCCTTATAACTTACTGGCGGAGACTCCGGCTGTTACAGTTAACGACAAGAAAAATAACTTCTGTCTTACCATGATGAGTCTTACCTATAACTATGTTCGCGAAAACGAGGTTTTTGTGAGGGAAAATCATTTTACGCTATACGACATCTACGGAAACAGTGGGAAATTCAAAGCCGAGCTAACAGACGGGGGGGAGGTTGTTATTCACAACATGCAAGACTGAGGATTTAATATCTCAGCTTAGGCCTGCCCTTGGAGATAATTGAGATTTTCGACACTAATCGGGTTCTGATATTATGTGGTCGATGAAATGCTGCACTACCAGACTGGATCGTTTGACAGATCCGGCCAATGTCAAATATACTCACCTGGTACCAAAAAACATTCCCTGCCTGTATCTGATAATCATGTTATTCTCATATGTCGTTACAGTTTCTCAAGTATGAGGTGTACGGAATGATGACCTGGGCACCAAGGTCCCGCATAACAATGTGACATATTCCCTGTTGCTTTGCTAAACAAGGTCTCGTGATTAAGGGTAAATATAAGCGTCAGAACCCTAGTGTAATGGCTGTGATTGAGGTCACGTATATTCTGAAGTCCACAATTAGATAACGCCGCATTAGAGAAGTGGTTTGAAATCGTCAGAAATATACATTCCAAAGCTGGAGTAATCATGAAAATAATAAGGTCTAGGAAGAGCCTTAAATTTATTCATTTTAGTTAGAATATATTAAATAATTTATTATAATTCATTGTGTATATTCCAGATATATCCAAAATAAGAATCTTCAGTATCAAGCTATTGATTTCTAAGGACTAGTCCATTTCATGGATATAAATTATTTTTATTATTATCATATAAATTTATAATGCTTTATAGTCAATTGCTTATCTAATTAATAGGCTTTTTACCCTTATAAGTAGATCCTATAGCAGTTATTCGCTGAATGATCGTGTTGACAACAAGGAATAAGGCTGAGACTTCCAAGCCGATGCCAGAGCTACTGGTGCAGATGTTAGTCCAAACCTTGCCCAGCCGGACCCTTCGGAAATGCAGCGCTGAATGAGGAAATAACACGTCGAATTGTTAGGCATATGCCAGCACATCCGGATCTGTGATATTATATTTTCGGCTCTCCTTCGGTGCAGCAACCGCCTTAGATACTCAGCCTTATAGCACGCATAATGATCCGTGACCAAAAACCCGACGAAAACGGGCTGGAATGAAAGAGAAATTAGTAGAGCAGGAAAGTCTCTGAATTACCTCGTGCCCTGGCCCTGAAAGAAACCTATCGCGAGTCTGATACACACAAGGATTCCGCTGCAAAAGTTGTTGCGGAGGAAACTGCGCGCCTGTCCTAATGTGTCTATTGGTTAGTAAGTCAACACTGGAATTCATAGCACACACAGGCTTTCTTTTGTAAAAGACCCCAGGTCATGCGTGATCCTGGCCAGTTCTGATAACCCCATTACTAAAGTCGGAACCTAAGCTGGCTTAATTCGACACCACGTATAGTATATCCAAAGTTTTACCACTCATTCATTTTGTGTGGTGAGCTACAGACTTTTCGAGATCGCATCGCTGAACTGCATGCAGGCTTGGATGTTCACTGTGTAACGCATCGTTTCCTTCAAAATCCATGTCTCCTTGCTTGGACGCCTGTCAAAGCAAATCATGTGTGCCCGCAACATACTCTCGATCAGCCTCACTACTACCTAACTCTCAGCTCAGCCGACATACACAGTTCGTGTATGTCATCGAAGGATGTCCGTTTGAACAATTACTGATTCCAGTTTAGTAATGCCTAATTTGTTTTCTATGTTGCGGTATCGTCAAGCTAAGCCCTTCTGAGAACAATGTAGGATATCTTATTCTTACAGCTATGAAAACGTGGCTCACTTGGCACAAGTACGAGGTTATGTCTCATGTGTCCTGTAGACATGGACAGATCGAGTCACTAATCGGAGTTTGCGGGGCACCACGCGGCTCGTATAGTGCCGATCAGGCTTGATCTGAGTCAGACACGATCTGAACCTAAATTATCCAACTAATGAATGCCTTGAACATGTCTCGCTCTCGAACCAGTCACTTCTCGCTACGACTGTCGGGGTGGGTTCAATAGTCACGGGTGGCTTGCCTGACAGCGGCGATCTTTCCGTGGCACCCGGTCCTATGACATCGCTGCATCAGACCTGTACATGCCTATTTTTGGTATGCCCAATTCGGAAACCACGAACTCATCTAGACGGAGGACATCATATGGATCAAGCGGTGTGGGATTTTATTGAGCGAGCAGGAGCGACTGAAAACATATAAATGCCTCCGTCTCTCCAGGTCACTTGAGAAACAACACATCCCTCCCACCAGCATCTTCTCATCTTCGCATTGACAAGAAGCCTCTTCAAAAACATCTCATACCAATTCATCCAAAGCAGTATATCAAAATGAAGACCTCTTTCATCACCGCGGCTTGCTCTACCTTCGCTGCTCTGTCCAGCGCCGCTCCTACTGATAGCTCTACCTTCGAAGTCGCCATCACCTTCTGGGGCGCCGACGGTTCCTCGTTTTCCCAAAGCTTCCCAGCTGACGATACCACTCATGCAATCAGTATGTCTTTGACTTATAACTCCCGGCCTTGAAGGACCTGTTACTAACACCTTTCATCAACAGCCAACCCACTGTCAATCACCAAGATTTCCTCTGTCGGAGGCGGATTCTGCTCCTTCCAGGGAGTTGATGGCAGCAGCACTGTGGTGGCTGGTGAGGTGACTGTGCATGTCAGCCCACCACAGACCCAGGTATCTGGAACCTGCGATATTCTGTGAACGATGAGAAAAAGCTTCCTATTGAGACACGGGAATGATTGTGACGATGACGTGCTCATGTCGATCTGGAAATTGTTACGACCAGAGGACACCGATGAATCAATGACTCTATGTGATTAGCTCGACAGTATATGTTGGTTCTGCATTGGCTTAAAGTTTTGTTTGTATTGGTGTAATCAGCAAGTGATGACCTGGAAATCTTCCAGCGTTCGCATGAATTCGACACTTGTTTTTTGATACACTTTAGGCTCGTTTTGTTCTTTATACTTCCTCTTGTTCGCTCTTTTCACTTCCTGTCCAAAACAATTTTATTGTGCAATGCAATGTAGTGGGTAACAATGCCACTGTGCGCTACGTTAGACAATATCTTATAGTAGGTTGATCGGTTTCCCAGATCCACCTTACCATTGCCCAACCATTACAGTACGCCTTGATTAACAGCACCGGTTTGGCTAATGCCCATTTGACCAATGTGTGATGGATGTGTCTAGGGGAATTATGACTTCGGAGTTACTGACTTATATCCTATAGCCGAGGAATGACATCACGGCACAGCGTAAGCCGTTGTCTCATACTAGATAGAATGTCCTACTATATATGTCTCAAGGAGACAAGGTCATTAACTGAACAACCCACGATCGACTACTTCATGAGACCTCCTAATTCTTCGCGTAAATTATGGATACATCGTCGTTCGAATTTACTCTCCCACTTCGTGGCAAGCTCGCCATTGTGACGGGCGCATCCCGCGGCATCGGAGCTAGCATCGCATGGGAACTTGCACGTCGCGGTGCAAATGTAAGCCATCACAGATACACAACCCCTTCCCTACATCATACAAGATAAATTAAAACACTGCAGGTCTGCATGACCTACGTCTCTTTCACCAGTGCCCAATCCATCACCGACCTCGGCACCAAAATCACCCAACTCCCCCACAACCCCAAAACATGGACCATCCAAGCCGACCTCTCCACACCCACCGGCGCCTCAGATCTAATCTCCGAACTCAAATCCTATCCCACCACTCCAACTCCCCTCAAAATAGACATCCTAGTCAACAACGCCGGCATCGAAATCGTCAACCCCCTCACCGAAATCACCATAGACGACTACAACAACGTCTTCAACCTCAACGTCCGCGGCACCATGCTCATGACCCAGGCCGTGCTACCGTATCTCCCACCCGAGGGTCACGGCCGGATCATCAACCTGAGCTCGGTTGGGGCAAGGTACGGTTTCAAGGGGATAAGTCTGTATATTGCGTCCAAAGCGGCGATTGAGGGGTTCACGCGCGCTTGGGCGGCTGAGTTGGGCGGGAATGGGACGACGGTTAATGCTGTTGCGCCAGGGCCGGTGCCGAGTGATTTGCTAGATAGGATTCCGAGGGAGATTGTGGAGGCGCAGATGGCTAGCACGCCGGTGGAGCAGAGGTTGGGAACGACGGGGGAGATTGGTAGTGTGGTGGCTTGGTTGGCGGGGAGGGATGCTTCGTGGATTACTGGGCAGGTTGTTTCTGCGAGTGGCGGGTGGGCGATGTATTGATTTGGGGTGTGTAGATAGGGCTAGTTTGGGGAATGGGAGCGAATGAAGTGTGAAAGCAGTATTCTGCTTCGGAGGAGATGGTGTTATGAAAGTGCGAGTATGGGTGGACTATTTGTGCATGGGATGGGAGACGCTTGGTCTTGTCCAATGAATATGCGGAGAGCTGAGAATATCACCTTATGACTTCGGTATGATTCTCTGGAGCATATAGGTGAGGAGTTGTGTCATTGAAATGGTGAAATGCGATCAGGGTGTGGCAGATACAGCTGTGATTTAGCGGTGAAAGGCACATATGCTATCCAACATAGTACTCATCCACACCTGCCGAATTTGGCTGTTTTCATGGCAGGTGACTTGCGGGACAAATCATAGGAAGAGATACTTTGCTTTGGCTACTAGTACCTCCTCACAACCAGCCTACTCAATCGCTTCTGTTCTAGGTTGATTTACCCGTCAGTTTACATGAAGAAGACAAAAGCCAACAAATAGAGAAGCAGAAAGCGCCTCGGTCCGATATTTGCACCGCGAATACCCCATATCTACCGCGAGATCCCATACTTCCATCTCGTCTCATCTTCCTATCCCAATACGTCTCAGTATCAGGCGAGTCGGATTTCCAAGGCCCACAATCCCTCGTCCTTGTCGATACAGAACGACCAAAGCACCTTGAGAAGCTGCAACACGATTTGGAGGCTGATTTTCAATATTGACTCCGCATCTCCTTATCTGACCCTTCGAGTAGATAATTCTAGCTGAGACTGGCTGGTGAGCCTGGGTAAGACGAGACCGATACACTTTGTGTTAGAGCCAAGAGTCCGAAGCCTGAAATGGCGTCGCAACAGACTCGGAATTGCCATTAAGTTTGTAATGAAAAGACTTGAGGTGCAGAAAATGGAGTGAACAGTCAATTGATGAACTCTGGTCAGCTACCCGCTATTTCTCTTGGTACTTTCACTCCTATTCGCTTATAACCCGAGGAGACATTTGTTGAGGTGCTGCCGATCCATCTTGTCTCTCTGATTGGTGCTATAGAAGACTCCGCGCCGATCTCGTTCGGCTGACAGCTTAGTTCATTTAAAGGTGGACCCTCATGCGCTAAATCGCCGCTCAGCATCCCCTGCCCCTCGATACAATCAACAATGGATCTATCTGCTTCCCTGCATCTATCATCCCAGAACCCCACACATTATCGGCCTACAAACTTGAATGATTTTGATACATCCCGTTTATAGGACAAGTTCATTATCTGCCCCATGCTGAGGATATGACTGTGGTGACTCGTCCCCCTCGCGATCGTCATGGTTTTAAGATCGCCATTGTCTGTGCTCTTCCCCGGGAAGCAGATGCAGTGATCGCGCTTCTTGACCATCACTGGGAGGATACCGAAGAGGTCTACAGCAAAGCTCCTGGTGATCCCAATTCCTACACTACCGGTGTTATCAGCACACACAATGTTGTGGTCGCGCATATGCCGCCTACGGGCAAGGGCAGTACGGGTGGGGTAGCTACGGGTTTGCGCACTAGCTTTCCCAGTATTGATCTCACCCTGGTCGTAGGAATCTGTGGTGGCGTTCCTTCGGATGCCAACCGGCAACGGGATATCTTCCTTGGAGACGTGATCTTCAGTCAAGCAGTTGCGGAGTACGATTTTGGGCGACAGTATCAGAGGGGCAAGCACGCCGATGGTGAGGAGGTTGGAGGTGGCGTACCTTCCTTGTCCATCCAATCTATCTTGCGAAAACTGGAGACCGATCGCCATCTACAACACCTCGAGGAAGAGACAAAAATCTGGCTTCAGACCCTGCAGCACCGACCAGAATACAAGTATCCTGGTCGTGAGTCGGACCGGCTCTTCCAACCATCATATCTTCATCGCCACCGTGAACCATCCACTTGTGGCGAGTGCTCGGACGAGAATGTATGCGCTGATGCACTCAAGGCTTCCTGCTGTGACTTGGGATGCGATGAGGATAACCTGGTGCGTAAGGAAAGGACTGATAAGTGTCCGCAAACCCCAGATGGTTCAGGACGAACCGAAACAGGGCCGTGGCCAGCTATTCACGTGGGTCGCATGGACTTTGGAAGTGCCGCCATGGAGTCTGGTAAGCAGCGTGATGAACTTGCTCAGCGCGAAGGCATCATTGGTTTGGAACTAGAAGGCGCCGGTGCCTATACCAGTAGCTTCTTCCCTAGCTTGGTCATTAAGGGAGTCTGTGATTATGCAGATTCGCACAAAAATGAGGTTTGGCAGGATTACGCGGCAGCAACAGCAGCTGCGTGTACAAAGGCCTTTTTACAGCATTGGGCAACAGATGCGATGAGTACGAATGTCGAGTTTGGTGAAATCATGACCATGATACATTCTGGGGGTCTCCTGCAGGGTCAGGGCAAGCCAGCCGCCGCCGCTGCTGTGTTTTGGAAAGCTCTAGAACGGATGCAAGAATCTCAGGCCACAGGTTCTCCCATAGAGACTGATAACATCACGGGATTGACACAAGCCTTGGTCGCCCTGAACCGACATGCCGAAGCTGAGCCTCTCCTAGTTCAGTCTGTTAAGTCTAACATCCGACAAGTGGGTGACCAAGAGTCAACCGTCGCCGCGATGAGGAATCTGGCTGAGTTTTATGAGGAATGGGATATGTGTCTGGCGGCGCAGCCTCTTCGGACAAAGGTCGCACAAATAAATCAACGTCGACTAGGCCGTGGGAGTGTACCCGCTTGTCTAAGCCAGTACGAACTCGGATTGAACCTCATCCGACAAGGACGGCATGCTGAAGCAAGGCCAAGCCTGTACACTAATCTCGAGTACCCTTTGGAAGCTGAGGATGTGAGCCACAAGGGTAACCTCGACCGCATGGTGAATATCGCAGGTAGACTTGCTGACTGTGGGATTGATCGGTGCGAATATCTTCACGTGGCAGAGCACATGGCACGCGATGCGGTGCGGCTGGTCAGACCAAGAATCGAGACACTGCCGTATGTAGCTCTATCAGCCTTCCGGACGTTTGGCTTCGTGTACAGGCTGCTTGGAAAGGCTGCTGAGGCAGAAGAACAATATCTGGAGTCGCTGACCATTGTAAACGGGCGCAGTCAGATGGAATGGCTGGAATCAGATGTGATGGTCAGGTGCTCCTCAGTTTTACTTGAGCAGGGGCGATATTCTCCCGCCTTGAGCATGGCTTCTGAGGCACTGGGGAAGGTTCAGAGGCAGGCAGAGCCTCTTGGAGAAACCGTGGCACGCTGCCGTACGAATCTTGCTTTGTCCTATATGGAAATGGGGCAATGTCGCTCGGCAGGATCGCTTGTGGTTGACATTCTGAGCAAGGCATATGAGGATGCGTGGGACATTGAGAAGTCCACTGTTTCCTCTCTCCTTGGAACAGTATCCATCATTGAAGATGTTGCCACTGTATTGAGCAGAGCAGGATGTTGGCAACAATCCCAGCATATTTACGAAAAGACGCATTCGATCTTAGCTCAGTTGCTAGGGACGATGGACATGCGCACACTACGGACCTCCTTGCGCCTCCGAGATACGCTTAGCTTACAGGGCAATTTTATGGATGCCTTGGTACTCAGCCTTGAGTGTAAAGACTGCTACTTGCAGCGAGTGCGACAGGATACCGTGCCCGAACGAATGATAATGGCTCAATTGGACATTGGGCTTGCTCGGGCATACGAGGGACTGGGGGACCACACGACGGCAGAAGCACTTGCACGCCAGGCGTTGAAGACAATTACCGAGAGTACAGACGAGAATAGTCCAGAGTCACTCCGCGCAACCGCTATTCTGGGGAGTATACTTGTGTCACAGGGCGGCCCCAAGTTAATGAAGGGCAGTGCTATGCAACGTCGTCTTGTTGAGACATGGGCTACATTGGCAGAAGAAGTTTCTTTACCAGCACTGGAGGCCATAGAGGCAGTCGCTCGGACGTGTGAAATCCAAGGGGATAAGGAACAGCTTACGGTTTGGAAGGAAAGAGCCTCGTCGGTGAAAGAGACATTTGAGGAGAGTTTGAGCGAAGAGGAAGAGGACAGGATTGAGTATTTGGTTGGGCAAGTATTTGAAAAGTGGGCCGAGAATGGCGAGAAGGTTATTCAAGAGATCGATCGACGGAGGACAAAGGTATTCACGATGATGTTGCCATAGATCAATCCTATGTATATTTAGCTTGGTTGCCTGTTATGGACGGCGCCAGTCCACTTGAAGTTGTCCTAAAATGTTATGGGTTTGCTGTCCCTATAGCGTGCGAGGGTTTGCACCATAATTAAGAAGACGTTATTGACTTTTCTCATCAGAGATCCCCGGGGATCCGGATATTGTTTTGATCATAATTGATATTTCTATTACCAATCTACATCTTTGAACGAGGCACCTCAATTGCATCGGTAATCCCCACATCTCGCACGACCAAATGATCAAGATCCTGCGTATTAACCAAGGCCGGATTCGCCTGCGAAAGCTCCGTAATTCCCACCAACCTCATCGCAGTCTCGAGCTCAGCTTGCAAAACTTCGCAACATCAGTACTACCATGCAGCATATACAGTATAGATCCAACTCACTATTAATCAAATGCTTAGGCCCATGCTCTCCGTAAGCAAGAGAATAAAGAAACGGCCTGCCGATTAGCACTGCCTTCGCTCCAAGACAAAGTGCCTTGAGTATATCGGTGCCACGACGGATTCCTCCGTCGATGTAGACTTCTACTTGACTGAAGATAGACGGTATATGGCGTCGTAATTCCAATAGTGTAAGTAGACCGGGCGGGGATGTGTCGAGGTTGCGGCCGCCGTGGTTGCTTTATACCCATTAGTGAGTCCATCATCAAACTCACTTCTGGATCCAAATACAATGGGATAATAACTGACTAACCTCAAAACAATCCCACTGACACCCACTTCCACCGCCATCTGCGCATCCTCCACAGACTGTATCCCTTTAATAACCAGCCTTCCAGGCCATTGTTGCTTCAACCACGCGAGATCCTCCCAGCAGAATGAGCTGTCGATAAACGACCCCGTGGTGCGGGTGAGTCCGCTTCCTGCTCCGTCATTCTTCGATCGAGTACCTGTCATTGGCATCGATATCATCTCCTCCGCTTTTACTTTCTCGTCCGCTTCCCGCTTTCCCGCTACGGGCGCATCGATCGTCACGAATATGGTGTGGATTCCCAAGTCCCATACCCTGCGTAGAAGGGACTCGGAGGCTGTTCGGTCTTTGGCGACGTATAACTGGAAGAAAAAGGTGGTAGAGGGGGATGGGATGTCTGATGTTATGTCTTCGATTGAGATGGAGGCTGTGATTGGTATCTGTACTTTTGTCAGCATGTGGTAACATTACTTTAGGCAGATATAGATATGAGAAGAGGAGAGATAGGTACGACATACACAGTGGAAGATCCCTCTACTGCCAGCAGCCCTAGCTAATCCCTTCTCGCCGATAGGATTCGCCAGACTTGCCAAAGCCACCGGCGCAATAATTACAGGTAACGAGCATTCAACGCCCTGGACTGTACATTTTGTGCTTATGTCCCGCACATTGCGTAGTAATCGGGGCCTGAACCAAATGCGGTTATAGAGCGATCGGTTCGCGTTAACGGAAACCAGATCTGTGGCGGCGGACGAGTAGAACGTCCATGCCTTTTTCGAGAAGGTGTTCTGCGCAACGCGCTCAAAATCATGCGCACTCAGTATAGTGCTTAGAGGTGGTTTGTTGGGTGGAGGAGCTGCCTCTCGAACAGATTTGTTGTGGGATTTCGCGTGGAGAGAAGACTGATCGAGGTGGCCAATTAATTTGTCTGTAGTGAGGGTTTTGGATATAAGGTCAGGAGTGTGCACTTCGCTGTAGGCCTGAGAAGCATCCTGGCCTGCGTAGCGGAGGATGGCTGGTTTCGAACGATTTTATTAGCTTATAGGGTATCATGCATGATGGACGTTGATGCTCACCGCCACAACCGCCTGGGTGGTCTGGGGCGAATTCAGTCAAGTCCCAGATTTGACCATTGATCGCGACCCAGCAATCACTGGGACTGCAATGCTGGGCAACTTCAGCCGCAGATAGGCGCTTAGGGCCAGCCATCCGTAATTGGGGTGGGGCTTAGTGATTTAATGGGGGGAGAAGATCTGAGGCAGAGGGTGATTGCATTTTCTTATGAAGAAAAGCCACTTATTCCCATGCAGCAGCCGGCAGTTACTATTCGTCTACTACTGAATTCTACGAGCGCATTCTTCGGTTGTACTACATGCGCATATTTCTTCATTATCCAACAGCTCACCTGTAATTAATACTCTAGTGATCGGTGATCACCGTCAATGCATCTAGTTTAGTGCTACGCATGATGACCAAGTCCTCTGAGCCACATATCCGATCGCCGATCTTATCGCCACGTAGATAATAAAAAACAACAAGTTCTGCTAGATGCGCATGCGTGACCAGCGATGATCGTCATTCGCACATGCATGTTGCCACTTGTTTAAACATGAACCAGGGTTATTTCGGGCTTTGCATATCATTTCGTTGTACCCTGTGGTCTATACAGGAACGCTTTAGTAGCCAATAGCATAGAAATATCGAGGGGATAAGGCCTGCTAAAGCTGTGGATCCTTGCGAAATGGTTGCAGGGCTTGCTTCGGACTTCGGACCCTTTTTCAGTCAGTTTGCCCCCGGTGACCGAAGATAATTTTCAGCTGAGATTGTGAATTCATTTGCTTTTAATCTAATCTTTTGGAGAGTGATTGATCTATCACTTTATGTTATGGGGCAGGTACTATGTAATATTGTTGTAACAGGGTCTTGCATCTCCTGTATTTAATACCTTCATGAGCTCTTAGCCGGATTCGTCGCTAGTACTATGTATGTCTTTTGCGCAGATCTCCTCGGATTTAGAGCTCAGTCTGGGATGAGGTTGTGTTGTAGTGAATAGTAGATTAAACATGTTATGTTGATGAACTGCTTTTTCTAGGTTGTTATCTATGGTGTATGGCCTTGTTTACAGTCTTGCTGCCACGGCATCGTGCTCATTTCCTGGCACTATTGCCTCAAAATATCTATTCAAAGCTGATGCACTCGTTATCCCCTTACTTAGATCGAGAACACATCCAACGTATCCATCGGGACGCACGACGACGATACCACCCTTATCTGCATCGAATCCCATCTTGACATGAGCGCTCCTTTCCGTGGCTTCGCCTCCCTGCGACATTTCGCGATCGTCCGCGTAAACGTGATACCTATAGCAGGCAAAATAGTCCGGAAGGCATTCCTGGATTTCAATCGTCGATCGCGGTGCGTGGAAAACCAGCGAAAAGGTGAAGAATGGGGAGTGAGGATTATGTCTTCCTTCGTACGAAATATCAATGTTTCGCTGATATCGGCGAAAGATGCTGCTCTTGGCCTGTAGATTATCGGCAAGATCGAGTATCGCCTTCGAGGTAGTTGCAGGTTTTCCTGCAAAGATGTAGATCCGGTAGCTGCCGTTGAAGGGGATCTCCTGTTCAAGGTGGACGGGACGGGCATCAATAACTCTTGTTACAGTTGCGGTAGGGAAGCTGTGACCAGTACGCAGGGGTGTTGGGTTTGGTGACGGTGAAGTTTCTGTAGGCCAGGTTAAGCTGTTAACAGGATACTCGACACCGTAGCCACTCGTCAAGAACGAGTTTTGCTTGTATACGTGGACAAACTCCGAGTTCGGCGTGCCCTTATTCGCGCCAGCGGGCTGACGAGAACTGAACAAGTTCGCGTATGTCGCATCAAACTCGAGGAGCTTTGCTGCTACCAGCTTACGCTCCCCTTCGTAGGTCTTCAGAAGGGAGCGCTGGAGAAAGCCAGATTCGACCAGGTGTAGCTTCCATGCGAGATTGTGTGCATCTAGGAAGCCGTAGTTCATTCCCTGGCCGGCTTTGGGCTGTGAGAAATCGCTGTGTTAGCTTGAAGATTACTTTTATCCTCAGGAGTCTGTCATGTGCTTACGCTGTGCGTATGGCATGCGTCTCCTCCGATAAAAACTCGCTCATCGAGAGTATATCTGGAGACGAGCCCTTGTCCGATTCGGTATGCAGAGTGCCACTCCACCTCGTCCCACTCCACTTTATATGGAGCAAGGATTTCATTGACCGCCTGCTGGATTTTCGGTACTGTCGCAAACGTGAGAGGTTCTTGTCCCTTCCCCGGAAACATCTGAGCATAGATACGGACAACGTTGTTGCCGTGAGGAATTATCATGGCGGACCCTTTAGAGGAATGGACGGTAGATTTGATCTAGTAAGTTGTATTTTGTCGGTTAGTAGGTTCAAGGAGCCAAATGTCGCAAGAAGAATGGACATGTACCTGAATGTCCGGAAAGTCGCTTTTTACCACCCCGTCAATGACACTCCACACATGCATTGTAGAATCTTTCGACAACATCGGCACCCCAAGAAGATGCCTCACCCGGCTTCGCGCTCCATCCGCACCAAACAAATATTTCGTTCGCACAGTCGAACGTTCTCTCCCGTTCACGCTGACGAGGTCCACTACCAGTGGATGCTCGGGATACTCTCCGCATGGCTCATTCCTAACCCCTGCAATGGTCGAGGTTCTCTGGATGTCGAGCCCTCGCTTTCTTAAATCATCCAGGAATATTTTCTCGATCCGGCCTTGGTGGAGAATGGTAGAGAACGGATGCCTCGTATCGATGTAATCAGGATAAGTCTTCGCTGTCCCCGTTCGTCGAATCCCCCGCCCGTCGTTCGAAGCATTCCAGAATGCAACCTCGTAAATTTGTCCTGGGTTATCAGACATAATGGTATGTTTTAGGTCCAAATTCTGCAACACATCGAGAGTCCGCGCCTGGATCCCAGCCGCGCGCCCAGTCTTTGTCGGGAAGGGCCGCTGGTCAATGTGTTTGATTTTATACGGTCCCAAGCGCAAGAGGCATGCTGACAGCATGAGCCCTACCGGGCCAGCGCCTACAACGACTATATCGTAGCAGTCGGTCATGGTTTAGAACTCTTTGGTGGTCCTTATGCGCCTTTCAAGATCTTGCTAGATGGGATTTTTGGGTAAGAGAACCCAAGGACATCAAGGGGAATTGGAATCGTCCACCAGCCAGAAGAGAAGTAGCCCTTTGGCTTGCTCTAATGCGGAGAGACCGAAAAAGCAACAACATGGTACAAGTCATCAGGTAAAATAGTGCGCATACCTTTGCTTACCATTAACCCTGCCAACATATGTGTGCCACGTGCCCCACGAAAAACCTCCGACTGAAGCTGCAGCCTTGCCACCATGGTAGATTACGGAGTGTGCATGGTAATCTCACCCCAGTCACTAAACCTCTACAAGTGTGACTCGAGATGCAGGACAACCCGTTGATGACGCGTCAACCAGTTCAGCTGTGATCTGTGATCTACGGCCCGCGGAGGGCCGCCCACTAGCCTAATCCACCGCAGTTGACGCCCCGTGCGCAGCACAACAATGCTTATCTCTAAAAGCTAACGTTAATTTGGGATGTCTACAATGACACAGCTAAACCCCACCTCCTCATTTTAGGCCTACAATTAGCCCCTTCATCTGACCTTGTCAGCTCACCGGCGCCGTAACGAGTAAGTATGGAGCTAGATGACGATATTCGACTTTTCTCGGCAGGCATTTCAGGTAAAGAAGCCCGCCTTAATTTTTCTCACCCTTGCTGACGCGAGGGGAAGGCGATCCGAAACCCTCGGAAGGGGCGTCAGTAGCGCTGAGATTATCCAGTCTCGACATGATCTGGAATAGATTAAGAAGCAGGATTAGGGGCAGTGGTAACAACAGTGTCGAATTTCAGCATTACAATCGGCCAGAGTTCACCGATACATTATGCTACTCTTCTTCCACTTCTTGAGAGATCCTTTGAGGGAGTTGTACAGCTGGCAATACCGGTTCTTCGCTTCCTATCTTTTGGGCGAGATACAGATCAATCAACATCAAACACAACAATCAGATTACGAAAGAAGACTTGTGACCTGCCACTGCCATGAAACTGATATTCGTGGCAAATTGCCAAGCGCCATTCGATTTGCGTTCTAGCTTCTAATTACACAATGCCAAGGAGGATTCGGTGTTTGCTTTTTCTTCAGCCCTTCTACCCTCACCCACAGCCATGCATGATGCATGATGTATGATGCATCAGCTGAGATGTAAGATGGCAAATCTCTTCTATCTACACTGTATTCCGAGAGATAGCTGGCATTACATTTTCGACGATGGCTATAAATCTGTTCCGGAACAGTATGCCAGGCTCATTACTCTAAGCCATTGTTAAATTTCGGTGCTCCTGTCAAGACGCTCGATCACCTCTGTATACATCTTGAATTTTACTATTTGCACAACATGCGTTCCACCGGCGTCGACGGCGAGCCATCCAAGGTCCCGCCCAACTTGGCCGTGATTAAGAGTATCAATCCCAACTACACCGGCTTTGACTATATATCCTGGTATCTGGGCAATGCCCGTCAGGCTGCCACCTACTTCGTCGCCCACTTCGGCTTCCGCGTTATCGCATACAGCGGACCAGAAACCGGATCGCACCTGACAACTTCCTATGTTGTTGCCAACGGGAACGCTCGCTTCATGCTGACTGCCCCAATAACCGGGCCCCAGAACATCCCCTCCGACAAGAACGTGTCCGAAAAGGACCGCAGTCTGTTGACTGAGATCCAAGCACACTTGATCAAACACGGCGACGGAGTTAAGGATATTGCCTTTCAAGTCGACGATGTCAGAGGCGTGTGGGAGCATGCCATCCAAAATGGGGCAACCTCAATCCAGAAGCCAACTATACTTAGTGATGAAAAGGACGGGAAAGTACTCTATGCAACAATCAAAACGTACGGAGATACAGCTCACACTCTGATCAATCGGTCGAATTATCGGGGAGTATTTTTACCTGGATTTCGCCCGGTAAATGATATGAATGCTCTGAACGAGCTACTACCCAAGGTGGATCTGATTGAAATTGATCATTGCGTCGGGAACCAGCCTTGGAATGGTCTCGACGGGATTGTCAAATAGTAGGCATACCCATTCCCTTATCTCGTCATTCCAATACCTCCAAAGAAGTTTGCTCATCATCGTATCTGTCAGTTACGAGGATGCTCTGAACTTCCACCGCTATTGGTCTGTGGACGACAAAGATATGTGCTCGGACTACTCAGCTATGCGATCCGTTGTTGTGGCATCTCCTAACAATGTGATCAAAATGCCAATGAACGAGCCAGCCACTGGTCTGAAGAAATCTCAGATTGAAGAGTGAGTCGCAACACCCCACCTAAGAAAGGGTCCCGGTGATATAATCAATGCTTATGTACGTGTCTAGATTCGTGGACTACTACGGAGGAGCAGGCTGCCAACATATCGCTTTTCGAACCAACAACATTATTGAAGCTGTCGAAAGCCTCAAAAAGCGCGGCATAAGCTTTCTTTCAGTTCCTAGTAGCTACTATGTCAAGATGCGTGAGAAGCTGGCTATGAAGAACGTCAAAATTGCCGAAGATATCACCCTTTTACAGAAATACAACATTCTTATCGACTTCGACGAGGGGGGGTATCTTTTGCAGATCTTCACTAAACACGTGGGTGACCGTCCTACTGTCTTTATGGAAATTATCCAGAGAGAGAATTTCGATGGGTTTGGAGCTGGGAACTTCAAGAGTCTGTTTGAAGCTTTTGAAAGGGAGCAAGCGTTGCGCGGGAATCTTTGAAGATTTTGAAGCACCCAGGTGCTTTTGACGACGTGTTTTCAGAGCAGACAACATCATTTTTTCCCCTGTTTTATATAGGATATTACGTATCAGATATCGCAGATGTCGCAGATAAAACACATATCCCGAATATGCCTCCCTCTTTCCAAATTTGTCTTTCCATCCTCCTTCAAGGGGATCAAAATAGACTCGTGTAGTCATGCGGCGCAGAATTGGGCAAGTAACCGATAAATTATCGAACTAGCATTGTATTTTTTAATGGCCTGCGATTGCAGGCAAATCAGGTATCTTTCAAGGTGGCTACAAAGTGCCTAGTAAAGCTTGAACCCAAAGTTCTTCCAGAAGACAAGCAGCCTTGGCTATGAGTGGACCCACCATCGGCATCTTCCGACACCGGCGACTGATAATCTGATAATCACTGCCGACGCCATATTCAGGAACAATTTTTCCATCTCCACAGTCACCACCTATATCACCAACGTCAACCAATTATTGAATCCCTTCACTCCTACATACCCATCATCAATGCTAGACTTACTCTCTAGCATCCCTGCCACCATTCAGTATGGTCTAAACTCTGCTCCTACTATCCTCTTCCTATCCATCACCCTCCCCATCGTCGTCTGCATTATTCTCCTTCTCCCCTACCTCAACCCCACAACCCCGCCCCCAAAAGGCTGCCGCAGACTGGGTCTCTCACCATCGAAGCCCTCCAACTTGTACGATGAATACTCACCCAATTACACCCACGGCGTGCCCAGCACCGCCACGGAGCCTGAATCTGGGCTCCCAGCCTGGCGCATCAAAGCGCTATTCACGTACCCGATCAAGAGCTGCGCAGGAGTGGAGCTTGAGGCAGCAGATGTGATAGAGACGGGGTTAAAGTATGATCGGCTGTTCTGTTTTGCGGAGTTTTTCCCTTCACAACCTTCCACCGCTACCACCAACACATCAACCACAACATCAAATGAAACAGAAAACGACGAGGCGAATGGAACCTGGACAGCCCGCACCCTCCGAGACCGCGACTTCCGACAGCTCGCCCTCCTCCGTCCAGAGATCTGGATTCCTGATCCATCGTCACCTACATATTCAGCCACAAATCCCGAGACATTATCAAACGGTGTTCTGCTAATACACTACCCCCTCCCACCATCTCGCAACCCCCTAATTACCCTGCTAAGAACCCTGCACATCCTCCCATCCCAAAGCCACTTCACCATCCCCCTCGACCCCCCGCCGAACTCATCAACACAATTTCCCCTCACCCCCGTCAAGATCTGGAAAGACATCCCTCTCGCACACAACTACGCCCACCTCCTCCCCGCATCCCTGAAAGATCTCCTAACATACGACACCACCCTCCCACCGCACCAACGGAGGAAGCTGTCTCTCTTTCGTGCAAGCCATACCCACAGGCGAGAAATCTATCGCAATGCCCCTCGCAAAGAAAATATAGGCTTCCAGCCCGTGACTGGCTTCGCAGACGCATATCCCATTCATTTACTCAATATGGCGAGCGTGAGGGACGTTGCTGCTAACTGTGCGAACGAGATTCCCAAGTTGAGTGTGAGGCGATTTAGGGCGAATGTGATTGTTCAGGGGCCGGGGAAGTTTGTGGAGGATGAATGGAAGAGGATAGTTATTGGAGATTCCTCTGGCGATGGGGTCGAAATCTACACAGCATGCCGCACCATCCGATGCAAATTGCCCAATGTAGATCCTGATACGGGCATACGACATCCTAGGGAACCGGATCGGACGTTGAAGAGGTATAGACGCATTGATGTGGGGGATTTGACGAATGCGTGCTTGGGGATGCAGTGTGTTCCTGCTGTTAAAGGTACCCCCTTTCTTCTTTCTTTCAATTGGGTTGTTAGGCTGAACTGACTGATGGTATAGAATTCACCCTGCGTGTCAATGATCCTATTACGGTGTTGGAGACAGGCGAGCATTGCTATATCAAGATGTTGGCGCCGGGGGAAAAGGTTGAGGGGGTATAATCACGCATTGTGCTCTACGTGGAGTTGTGATAATCTTGTATCATTATTGTATTATAGGTTTCTTTGTGTGAAGCTATCATTTATATTCTCCTATACGTACTTGCTCTCCTAAAATGATCGTAGCTCCCCTCTTCTAGGTGCCGCCGCTTTCTTGAGGGCACTCAGGGGCTTGGCTCGGTGAATACCTCACATCACGGATGACCGCTCAGTGAGCAGACACATCTTCTCTGATCTACTCATCTGTCCCTGTGTTTACAGCCTTGTGAGACAATTTCACGTGATGTCCCATGTATGGACTAGTTTAACTCAAATATGAATCGTGCCCCTCCACTAGCTCGTACTTCAAATGCCATCTTCAAGGCTGTGGCCTCCTGCCGTGGAATCGTACATCTAGCAGCCTGGATTCTAATTTGCATGCTCGTGCGCCCCTGTTATGGTTGAATTAATTGGTCTTGTAGGCACTCTCATCGGCATCGTTCAGGTATGTGGTAAGTTGGTGTCGGTGTGCTATGATTACCGCATGGGCGTCCGAGATGCGCCCCAAGCTATCTCTCGGATTGTGGACGAGGTCGCCAGTGTTGGGTACATCGCACAGCAACTAGTGAAGGCAATTGAGTCCGACGATGCCTCTTCTTTGCCTTCTTTGCCGTCTTTGCAGGCGATAGATGGGGATGGTGGTACTCTCCGCAGTTGCTTGGTCGAATTGCAGGATCTGAAAGCAAGCTTAAAACTGGCAAAAACCTCCAGTTTGAGGCGTGCTCTGACGTGGCCGATGCAACCTGTAGATGCGGAAAGAATGTTGCAGACCCTTGCGACCACCAAGAGCACGCTGCAATTGGCATTGGCGGCTGATAATACGTGGGTAGTTTGTGACAGAATATGCAACCGTGGCTTTTCTGACGGTTCGTCTAGCCAAAACATGGTAATAAGCCACACCCGGTCGTTGCCGAGCGTTGAGAAGAAGGTTACTGGACTATCGGAGAGTGTGGCTCAATCTGACGAGGGTAAGCTGGGGTTCAGAGTCAATAAGACCGATAATAACAGTTTTAGGCCGTGAATTAGCTGAAATTCTCAGCCAGCTCGGTGGACGCTGTCAATCAGCCAAGCAAGATGAAGAGTACCAAAAGTGTGCTCCAGCTACTGGTGACTGGCTTTTAAATACAGAGCAATACATGAAATGGAAAATCAACCGCAACCATGTCTTGTGGGTCAAGGGAGCCGGTAAGTGGCGCCCTCTGTACTGAGCTTAACCGACTACTGATCACCCTGCTTTAGCTGGATGTGGTAAGACCGTCCTATGGTACGTATGCTTCCTATTGGATCCAGTCGACGAGTGTCTCTGAGCCCATTTGAATTATGATGGTCTGACAACTAGCAGTTCGAGGATTATTAAGGATCTTCAGGACCACTGTGGTGGGGAGCAAAGTAGCAGCCTATGCCATTTCTTCATGGATTCATCGGAAGAAAGAGGAGTCGACATCAACCGCGTGTATGGATCCTTCGTCAGGCAGCTGATTCATCAAGGAGCAACCATTCCTCGCTTTCTCCCGAGGCCGTGGAGGAATTATAAAAGCCCATCCGACGAACAGCATTCAGTTTCATGGAAGTGGTTATTGAATGACCTCTTGTTGCAGTTCGAGCATAATTACATTGTTCTCGATGGTCTCGACGAATGCGAAGAATACCTGCAGAATGGAGTTCCCGAGCTTGCAAATTTCGTTAAGGAGATGATGGAACAAACAAAAGGACAACAGCATTTAATTGTGTTCAGCCGAAACTTGGAGCAACTTCGACACGCTTTCGAAGGCCTCAGGATCTCCACCGTTACAATTGATGACTCAACAGTAAATTTTGATATGCAGACAGCACTACGACACCAGTTCTCGCATCAGGGCAAACTTGCCCGGTGGCCAATATCGTTGAAGAAGAAGATTGAAGAGAGCCTCCTGGCCCAAGCCAATGGCTCGTGCGTATTCAGCCTTGACCTACGGAAATGTTAAGTGGCTGACACCGTTTGTAGATTTCGTTGGATGGACTGCCAGCTGCAGACACTGCGACGGTGTGCCACACCACAGGCGGTACACAAAGCTCTCAAGGATCTACCAAAGTCACTGGAGGAACACTACACCATGGTAATCGGCAAGCTTGATGAGAGCAACCGCATTCCCGTGAAGAACCTTCTACGCTGGGTAGCCTTTGCTCTTCGGCCGGTGAGTACTCATCACGATAGGAAATCAAGAATCATTCCCATTCTGACGTGTTGGCAGCTATCTCTAGAGGAAATCACAAGCGCCATGGCTATTAATGCCGATAATGAAGTTAATCCTTTCTGTGACGAGGACTTAGTGCTTCTCGACCCAGAAAGCTTCATTGATTCCTGCTCCAGTCTTGTCTCGACTTACTGCCGTGGGGACGAATCGAGTGGCACCCAGGGTGTATATGTCAAGCTAGCCCACTTCACCGTTCGCGAGTTCCTCACTTCTGATGCAATCTTGCGAGGCTCATGCTCCGACTTCTTCATGGATGCGAGATCGTCTCATGCGGTCCTGGCTAACTGTAGCCTTGCGTACTTTCACCATGCGGTTCAGTCTGCCGCCGGCGACCCCTGGACTTATCCCCTGGCATGCTATGCAGGGCACTTTTGGAACGAGCATAAAGATCGTTCTCAAGGCGCTTGGCAATACCTTGAACTAGAGACTATCTTACTGGATCTCTTTAACGACAATGGGCCCTATTTTGGGCTAGTATGGAGCAAAGTGGCAAAGGTTGACCGACCGTGGCTGCGGGATGAACCGAGCGACACCAATGACTATACAGCATTATATAACTCTTCCTACTGTGGTCTTACACGAGTGGTAAAAGCAATTCTCAACAAGGGTGCGTCGCCAAATGTCTCCGGCGGCTTTTACCACCGTCCATTACAAGCAGCCGCATTCATGGGCCACCTGGAAATAGTTCAGTTACTGGTAGACGCAAAGGCCGAAGTCAATGCAAAAGGGGGTGCGCTAAGTACGGCACTTGTTGCAGCAGCTGCTCAAGGTCATTCAGATGTCGCCATCACGCTGCTAGAAGCTGGTGCCAATGTCAACTTCCCGAATCCACGGACTTTTGGCCGCCAAAGGTCGGATCCTCTATTTCTCGCTGTCGCGAGAGGTCATCTACCTGTCTGTGAGATTCTGCTCAATTACGGAGCTGAGGACTACCACGACATGAAAGGACACCCTGCATCCGCCCTAGTAACAGCAGTTGGTAGTGGTCGTCTTGATATTGTGAAGACATTGCTAAGGTGCGAGCGCATCACAAATGCAAGGAGCATGAAGCACAGAACCACGGCAGTCATTAGGCCCGTCCAATGTGGCATCACCGCCGCCCAGTATCAGGCCGCGGCTGGCGGCCACGTCGACATATTGCGCGAGCTGATAGCCTATGGAATTACACCAGACGAAGCATTGAGGTACGCAGCTCGTGCGGGTGACGAGGCGCTCGTGCGAAAGTATCTAGACGAGGGTCTCAACGTCAATAGCCACGCGCAAGTCTCAGATCACCCAATAGCTCTCCAATCGGCGATAAAAGGCGGCCATACTGCGATTGTGCATGAGCTGCTATCACGTGGAGCAGATCCAAACCTGGAATCAGGCTTTTTGACGCCCTTGAGAGCTGCGGTGGACGCGGGGAGTTTCGAACTCGCCCAGGTTTTGATCAATGCAGGCGCAAGAGTGGATTCCCACCGGGCTTTACAAAGTGCTATGTCTCAGAAGAGAAAAGATCTTGTTGATCTCCTCCTGCAGAACGGAGCAGATACGCATCGAAGCTTACGAGATGCTGTTCGGGGTGCCGACCTTCGGGCTTTCCAGTTCCTTATCGATAGAGGAGCAGATATTCATCGCCAAGAGCCAGATGATGAGACATCCATGTTGGGGGCGGCCGCATGGGGTGGTTCAGTCTCAATGGTAACATATCTACTCGACAACGGACTGCAGGATCAGCTCAATCCGGGGCCTGAAGACACCCCACCTCTGCTTGATGCTGTTGCCGCCACTCGTCCACTCATTGTGGAGCTGTTGATCCATCGTGGAGCTGACGTTAATGCCTACCCCCAGGCAGCCGAAGAGCGCCGTTTCACTGGATCATACCGTTTATATGAGAATCATCGCCGCTGGCCACCTGAACCAATATGTGAAACGGCACTGACACTAGCTGTCAAAGCAAACAATCGAGATATAGCCGACCTCCTCATGCGACATGGCGCGATGGTCACACCAGATTCGCCCGACACCGTTGGCACACCTCTTTTGTATGCGGTAGGAGATCAAAATATTGAACTTATTCGTACGCTGCTAGATAGAGGTGCCGATCCAAACCAGAGAGGCACAATTGTGGAGGAAGGAAAGCCATCATTTCCCCTCCTCGTTGCAGCAGAGAATGGTAACACCGAAATCATCGACTCGCTCTTGAAGGCGGGTTCAAGATTAGATGATCAGGACTCGGAAGGCTTCAGTGCCTTGCATGCTGCGGCTGCCTGTCGCACGTCAGACGGACTCAGGTCACTTCTCCACAAACACGGTGCGGACATGAATGCAAGGCTTTTGAACGGCAGTCTACCAATCCATTCGGCTGCATCGAGGGGCACCCCAGAGAATCTTGGAATATTACTTGAAGCTGGCGCGGACATCAACGCCACAGATGACAACGGTCGCACGCCACTGCATTGGGCAGCAGATAGTGGCAACTGGGAGACGACCGAAGCTCTCCTCGACCGGGGAGCCCTGGTAAATGTGAAGTCTCAGGACGACGGAGCGAATACCCCGGTGGCCATGGCTTTTTTGGCGAGGGATGAAGCCATTTCGTATTGTAGGCGCTTCTCGGAGGACTGGGACGATGAGAGGATAGAGAGGCTGTTGCAGAGATTGAAAGAAGCGTCGGACTGAGTGAGGACTCGATAATCCGGTGAGATGGTGATAATTAAGCAAGCACTAAAACGCCGTTTCGGGCTACCTATAAAATCAAATCAAAAATCTTGTTCTAGCTGTGTATAGTATCGTAACGGCGAATACAGCTTACGATATGCGGTCTACTAATTGCTACCCCCACCGGATAATAGGATACAATTCGAGTATACCCACTAACGATTTTCTACTACGACTTTTTACCGCAACATTCAGTATCATCTCTCGGGCGCAATAACTTCCTTGGCAGCGTTTTTTCGGGGTCATTGGAGATTATCGGACCCGTCTTGAACGGAATCACTCGAACTCTTGGCGTGTCAGCGGAGGTACGTCTGTCAATGCACCACCGTTGAAGGACTAACTGGCAGATGTTGATAGTTGTAAGTAAGGTCAACAGTCATGTTAGTAACCAAAAAAGAAAAAGAAAAGAAAATTACATACAACAGAAGGGATTCGCTGGTGGTCACCCACCCAACTACTAACCTCCCGGCGTGTGGCTTGAGTACGGCTGAGCGGACGGGAAGCCCTATTTTCCACACCCTGTGGTCGTATGTGCTTGGTGAATAGGAAAGACATAATGTATTGACAGAGAGTATTAATAATAACAAGTAATGCTTCGCTATTAGCCCTCGGGGACTGGTGCGAGTGAGACCCAGACGTCGTAATAATTCTTCTAGAGTTGTATTAGTAGTGTTCTGCTCGAACTTCATTTACTCCTATATTGTTCTGGACGTGCATATTATAACAAAGGCAAATACAGTTGGCATACGCTCTACTAAGTGATAATCCCACCTAAATACCAGGCACATCTCAATCAGCAGAACATAAACGTCACCACCGCTACCCCCAAGCAGGCAACACCTAGAGTACAAACTATTAGTCCCTGCAAATATAGACAATATCTTCAAGCCATGACCTACCCAGAGCAATATTCATATAATAGTATCCTGCACTCTCGAACAGGAACCCAGTGACGACCGGGCCCAGCATCAAACCGACATTAAACGAGATAGACACCAGCGCGAAGCACCTCGCGCGCCCACCATTGGGGCCAAACAAGGTGGGAGTATCTTTTTCGACTTCCTCTAGGAGGTCTATTCATCGTTAGCATTCAACATGCAAATTTCGTTCCTCGCTTGTTAAATATAAGATTTGGGATTATGACCTACACCTCATATGAAACGACCCGGCACCTTGAACCGACGACATCACTAAACCGATAGCACATATACATACAATAAAGGCTACTTTATCATCTGTCCGGCTCCCACTAGCCTGAGAGACATCCCTGCCAGGTACACCTAAGTAACACATCAACGGGCAAAGAAGAGCCCAACCGATTGCCGTTGGGTATCGAATACCGACACGATCTCGGAGATGGCCAAATAGGGGAGGCAAAAAGATGACTGGGACTTGGAGGGCAAAGAATATCGCCCCGACGGATGATGGGCCCCAGTCAAATGTATCTCGAAGATACACAGGTAGAGTGGCGTTGAATGCTGTCCGGAGTGCGGCTTGGGACATGGTGTTTAGAACGGCTGCCCACATTCCAACGTCTTGGAGCATTACCGTGTAGTAGTTGCGATATTCTGTGGTTGCAGTGCTGTCGAACTCCGCCTTCGTTGTGGTATCGAGGTCTAATGAAGGTGATTGGGGCAGGAAGGGGGACGCTTCCGGGACATTTTGACATAGCTTGCTGCGGTTTTCCAGTCTGATTGGAGACTGCGAATCAAGTAGATGATAGTCAGGCTGAATCATAACGAAGCGTGCAATCATGTCGAGGATCAGCAGAGTCATTGGTAGGGACCAAGCTGGCCAGTATCCGAACCAGCCTAATAGAACGCCCCCAAACATCGGTCCGCTGACCGTTCCCAACGTTGAAAAAGACATGCTCAGTCCCAACATTGCCCCAGCTCGTGCACTACCCGCGACCTCGGTGAGCATGGTCGTGCACGCGAGCCATGCAGCCGAGGCAGCTACTGCCTGTAGAATCCTGCCCAAGTATAGCACCCATGCTGGATCATCAACACTATTAGCATCAAGAGCAGGAAGTATATAACATGGCTGGGGTGACGGGTACATGTGGTGGTGATTGCAAACAGCGCAGTTCCAGCCAGACAAAGCACAAGTGCCAAGTATAGTGGGATCTTCTGGTTCGAGATCGTATCGAACAGAGCCGCGCAAGAAGGGGCAGCGAGGATTGCCGCCAGGCCTTGTAAACTGAGTAGGCTGTTGGTGGTGCTAGTGGTTTGGGAGGGATCGTTGTGAAGGCGCTCTTCTAGCATATACGGGAGCATAGGTACGGGGAAACCGGCTAATAGCGATTCTATTCACTAGCTTAATTAGTGGATATGAAACAGTCGTCGGCTAGAGTAGGCGGGTGTGTCTTTGTACCAGTAAACATGGCCAGGCACGCAGTGACGATGACGAACTGGCTGGAAGATCTCCATCCCTGGGTGATTGGGCGTTTTGTGGACACATCCATATTGCCTGTAGAGGTCGACACGCAGGTTTCAGGTCAAGACATCCTGTCTCTTTTGAGATTATGGACGAGACGTAGACGTTATGTTGATTGAGTTGACTCAGGGTGGGTGCGCGCCACAATCCACGCAGAAGAATGCAGGGCACCCATGATCAATGTGCCTTGCGATGATCGGCAGGCGCAGGAACAACATTGCGCGTGAGATCACCCAAAGACAGGAGGGGGTCGGAGTATCTATTTGTACTCGGTCTGGCCAACTTAATCGCAATGATTCCGGTCGATGGTTGGGGAAGACAATGTGTATTATTGTTTCTTATTTGTTTTGCCTAAACTCCCTGTCCAGATTCAACCAAGTTTGTGTCTGCTCATTGACCAGCATCCCAGCCGGAAAGCAAGCACCAATCATGTTGAGCGGGAATGCAGTGCTGCAATATTTGAATACCACGTGGACACTTGAAGAAAGTCCGGCAGGAAATAGAATCTCGGGACTCGGGTACAAGGAAATAGCACTACTGCTTAGCCCTTCGCGTCGCTTCTACTAGGTACGGAAATGTCTCGATAATAAAATTGTCGTATTAAATCAAATGACCGTCTAGGTCAGGGTATCCAAATATAACCATATCGCCAATCAAAATCAAACAAACTAGAAAACAGGATTAAACACTCGAGGGCTCGCCCTTGGTGTACTGCGTGCTCTCCCTCGATGTCATCACCTCCTCGCTTCGTCGGTAATCACCCCGGGCCTCCAGAATCGCCGCCTCCTCCTCTGGGTCCTCCGGAAGGATCAAATTGAGGATCAGCCCGATCAGAGCGGTGATGGCGAACCCGTTCTCCATCACCAGATCAATAGCATCCAGCAATCCTGTCAAGCCACGGTTGTTACCACTGTAGGTAAAGACGTAGTCGAACCAGTCGGATACCAGGGTGGCGCCCATACCAACTGCAAACGAAGCGGTCAGGATGAATCGGTTGCGACGAGTGAATTGAACATTGGTGATAATGCGAACACCGGAAATCGCCACAGAGGAGAAGAGGAACGTCGTCATGCCACCAAGAACACTATTGGGAATGGCAACCAGTGCCGCGGCAAATTTGGCGAAGATTCCCATAATGATCAGGAAGAAGCAGCAGCAGTAACCAGCTGTGCGGTTGGCGCACTTGGTCAGCGCGATGACACCGTTGTTCTGGGCAAACACCGACATCGGCGTCATGGTCATGAGGCCGGCCAGCACACTGGTGAGACCGTTACCAAGAACACCACCCTGAATACGCGAGTCGAAGGTGGGGCCTTCAACTTCGACCTGGGATACGTCGCAAGTAGCGGTAATGTCACCAATCGATTCCATCATGACCACAATGTACACTGCCAGCAGTGGAAGGATCATGGGCGGGTAGATGGTCAGCGGGAATGTCTTCACCCAGATAAAGGAGGCCACCGGCGCAGCGTCGATGCCCGATCGATCAAAGTATCCGCAGGCAGCCGCCACGATACATCCTACCAACAATCCCACCACGACCGAGCAAGATCGCATGATAGGCGCTCCAAACCGCTCACAGAGAATGATCGAGACATATACCAGAAATCCGAGACCGATAAACTCCGCACTTCCCCAAGGCAGAGCATGCGGTGCGTCCGCGCTAGGACACAAGGCACCGTTTCCGGGATTCTCGGAGCAGGTTCCAGAGCCACCTGCCCAGTCCTGGAAAGCGGATTCGATAAGACTGGCTCCAATCAGGAGAACAGTGGGACCAGTGACGAGGGGAGGAAAGACACGTCTCAGAATTTTAGGGCTCATGAAGGAAAGGCCAATCTCGAGAAGCGCACACAAGCACGATGTTCCCAGTAGAGCGCCATAACCCTTAGGGCAGGGCAGCTTGGTTCCGTCCTCGGCGGTCGGGCAGTATCCACTGGAGTACATTTGTTCGAAACCACCGGTTGCGACGGTGATTGTAGCAAAGGAGATTCCCACCACTGAAGTCAAGCCAGTACCAATGTAGTATTTCGTTCCGTAGATGTGGAAACGGAACATCTGAATGGCGGACAAGATACCGGAAGCGATGAGGGACGTTGAGACGAGGTATTGGTAGTCTTCTGTTCCGAAGTTGGCACCAGATGTGCCTCCGATCAAGATAGGAGGTGAAATAACTGACGAGTCAGCACTAGTCAGGATTCAGAGAGGATCTAACTCACTGCCACCCAGCATTGCCAGTGCATGTTGTAGTCCAAGCAGCATAGCTAATACGATAGGTACATTGTCTTCGAGCCCGAAGAATGGTGCAGAGCTTCGTTTCTTTGTGATGAAGGGGATATTCGGAGTGAACAAGTAGGCGTAATCATAGTCTCCAATGAGGCCCTCTCTGCAACGTATTAGCGCGTCTACTGGTTAACGATGTTCCATGACCAACCTTGTGGTGAAGGTTTTGACCAAGCGGCGGCCGACGTCATTCCAAGTCCGCTTAGGCCGGTAGTCCGGGCCTATCTGGTCAGGACCGTCCATTGTGTGAGGGAGACTAATGTGTAACAGATGTTGACGTAGAAGTGTAGATGAAACTCGATGAGTTGCGGACGAATGGAAGATATCTCGATGTTAAAATATGGACCCAGATGAAGTAGTCCGAGTGGAGTGAGGGGTCGGTTCTTAGCAATGGCTAGTTGGATCTGGGGAATAGACTAAGACCATTCCAAACATCGACGGGCGAGGCGTCTATATACATGAACCATCTTCCGTGAGCTCGAAGATGAATCGGGATGACTGAAGCTCGGACCGGGCGTGGATGATACAGCTATCAGTGGCGAAGATGATGGATGAATCAATCGAATAATGGTAGGCAGTGGTTATCTCTGGGCACCGGCGTGGCAGACACGCGAGCTAATTTCCAAGCGAGCTGCAACCTGCAGCAGACCGGGGCAGCGCTAGCGATGACTGGTTCCTCTGGCGATTACGCTGTTCTCATCCAGGCTTCAACTGTGGGCCCTCCGATAAGAACGGACGGCTGACACGCTGCCCTCATGTAACCTCCCCGGCCGCTTATCAGTCCCCAGATCGGGTTCCGCCGAAATCCATCTCTTGCGTCTCCCCCCTGATAGCCGGTGGCCGATGGGTCTTGCACTGACGAACCCGATGAGGCCGGAGTAGAACTCATCCAGAACGTGGGAGGACTGGGGGGGAGATGATCGGACTGATATAAGCTAAAGGCAAACGTGCATAAGGGGGAGAATTGAAGGGCCGACGATGCTTCTTTCGCCGGGTTGCAGTCCGGGGAACACCAACCCCAATGCGGCAATCCATTAGTCATAGATTCAATCAGGCCCAACTTTATCGTAACCTTGACTGCTGCCCGTGACTAACAGCGTAGCAGTAGTTTAAATTGTACCTGTAGTTCTGTGAAGAGCATTATTCCAGATAGTATGGATGTAAACACGAATTGAACGATAAATTTGAATGCTGGTGTCTTCAGATAATGCGAGCATCAAACCCTTCTCATCTTGTCTCCACAGTAGGAATGAAAGAAATGTTGGATCTGCGTTCGCTATAAAACAATGGAGGATTGAATCCTTCGCATCTTTTTGTGTCTTGCATGATCTTGTATTAAATACTTTATATGAATGTAACTCTACTATCGCTGTCAAGGTGTACTATTTGTTTTGACTAATAGCTCTTACTAGTAGTATGTGAGGCTGATTGCGATGAATGTAGCTAATAACTGTATATGAACGCTTTCAACCGTCTCCTAGACTCTTCTAGGACAAGCCACGATGCACTGAATGCCCGCTATGCAGCTAGCTCGATAGTTCGTAGTAATTGCTAGCCTGGTGGAATTCTTTGACACATCAGACTCCATAATCTGTGGAGCAAGTTCATGGCCGTTGCTATAACTATCCTGACGCTTTCGCTAAGAGCTGTCACATAATTGTCGGATCCGGTTTTCCCTTAAAGTCCTGATTCCATGTTGCTGACTAGTTGGTAATAGCATACTTTCTCATTGCCTTTGTTGAGATATTACATATATATATATATTATAAAAGTTTGATAAACACATTATTATGACCACTCAATATTAGTTTGGTTCAATTTTCCGGAGCATCAAGGTCGATGGTCAACAAAATGATTTGGACTCGTGTTTATAAATTATGCACAGATGCAAATTCAGATCTAACAGTCAATAGATAGTATTTATACAACGTGGACGCTATGATTAGTATCAATTAAAGGAAAATAACAAAGTTCGAACGGTTATGCCTTTCCCACAGATGTCCTTCTTTCTTTCACCAAGAATGTAGATCTAGATTGAACGTCATGCTTATGTTCTGAATGAATATTTGAATCACATAATCTAGAAATCATGATGAGGTTGAAGTATATCAATAAGGCATATCCCGAATCGACCAAATAGGTATACACTAGTCATAAAGAACCAGCTATCCACCCACCCCTGGAGTTGCCGAACGAAAAGTTGAAGTGAGTCTGTCACAATGACTTCCTAGCAGGAAGAGAGCCCAGCATTATATACCCCATCTATCAGAGACTAAACCTCAATGCCCAGTCACACTTCCTACGCATAAATCCCCACTCCAGACAATGCTCTTTTACAGTCATCACATCTCAGCATAACCCCCCGGCATACGGAAATACCCATACTCCGTAACTATCAAGCGCAACCTTAAATAGTCTATATTCAGTGACAAATACCTCCACTAACACCCTTACTATGATCCGATAATAATTATTCTCCGTTTCTCGGAACCTTACTCTCCGACACGATCCTCGATCGGCAAGAGGCTGAGCATTGTCTAGTTCTATCTAGCCGTGGGGAAACGGAAGGGGCTAGAGTTACTAGTGGAGCCGGTCCGTCAGTCCGAACCACGTCTTCTTGGCCACTTGTCAACCTCGGATCGGCAAGGGCCGGGTGGATGGATGCTTTTCATTCTACGTTGCGGGTGATTTCGGAGGGGAGGTGTGTAGAGTAGGTCGAGTGAGTAATGGGGTTGGATAAAAGGTGGGTGTATATTTTGATGGTTTGGGGATTTGTCATGGGGATGTGAGGTTGATGAAGGGCTTGGAAGCTGTAGATTGGACTATGGGATGTAGTGCTTCTGGTTCTATAGTTATCTGCGACATTGTTTTTGAAGTGTGTAGGCAGAGGTAGACTTGGAACAGTCGACCAGTCATCTTCGGGAGAGCTGTGATGCAATTCTAGACTAATAATTATTGTGTTCAGTCATTGGTGCGATATCCATATTAATGGACTGCCCGTGAGATTATAGTACAGCTTCTAAGTATAGTATTCGAACAGATTTTAGGTCATTACTCTTGAGCTTGATAGACGTGGGAGGATGGAGTAGTGAGTGTATATTAATACTATTATGCGTCATATAATCATGGAATAAAGACTAGTACTAGCAGACGTATATGTAGTAATAAGTAGACACGGCGTTCAGCGATCGAAGTATTGGTAGTTGGTGTTGTATATATGGAAAATGGCATATTATATATTCCTTTTATGTTGGTCGAACAACTAAGTAGTAGGATTCGAAATGTACCCGGTATGCACTGCAACTACATTTTTGCCCCTCAAGGCCCCTGAGCAGAATTAGCATTGCTCCTACAGAGTAATGTCATGTGCCACTGGCGAGGGGATTGAATCTAGCAGTTTGAAGCTGCCAGATAGAATTGATCGGTGATCTACCTCACTATTTGGGATGTCTTTGCATACTAGTCCATATATCCAACTGGAGTACACCCACATCAATAGAACATTATGTGACTATCAATAAACTATGTTGATCAACAATGCCTACTAATTGATCGCCATGCTTATGGGTGTGGTTCTAATGAGTCGTGAAATAGTATTTTGCTCTCACCGTCTCAAATAAATACCTCGGTCTATCCATACTCCGGACCGAGTGAAGCGCAAGAGATCTACAGACTCAATTCTAGGAAAAGCAACAGCCAAATCTCACGCAATGCGCTGTTTAACAACCTGTTGGACAAATCAAAGACTTTCCCAATTATTGATGATTTTATTGGCGGTTAGTGAAAAATGATCTCAAATTTTGCTCAAACCATAGGGTGTGGACGAGATCTGTCCCAACCAGATGAAAGTGGCACGACGTGTTCAACGGAGCTGTAATGGCCCCGGTCCATAACTTTGATTCAATGCCACTGGGGCCATCTGATAACGTGGGGATCCAGTGAAATCGATCCCTTGTCTGGGGAATGATTTCAAGACTTGCGGTGTGTGGGACGCCTTGCTTGGATGGGTTGGCATGTCCCAACCGAGCTTGGATCATGTGGTTGCCTGAGGCGATAAAAGTTAATGGGAGGAATGTCACATGTGTCACGTGGTGAACAGTTGTCGAATGATGTGAGATGAAAAGTGTTGGGGAGAATGCATGCCTGAATCATGTGGCGACGATCATCAGATTTTCTACGGACTCTGAAGAGCATCAACGGAGCACCCGGGAAGAGTTTGTGCCGAGGAGCTTGCGGCTCGCAGTCATGCCAAAACTGACTTTGGCGTTTCAAACTCGGCCGGTGGCAATAATGTCCACTCATAGGGCTGCCTTCAGCGGAAAAGTCTGAGCGAGTGGACCAATGAGTGATCCAAGACATGCTGATTATAGCACTAGATTGCGTTAGTGTGGCCACCGCATAAGCAAAGACTCCAATGTTTCAATGCTCCAGAATTAGGATCAGCTTTGAAAGAGATGGGGACATATGCTCAACTCTTGAAGTTAGACGGAGTTGTGCCACTCCGTGCAGGCGATACTCTGATGCGGAAAAAGAAACCGTCCCGAAATCCAATTCGGGATGGAGAGCCACGGGTCAAGCCACCCGAGGCATGGCACCAGCCACACAGAGCGATCAAGGGGCAAAAAACGTTGGGGATTCAACGAATGGTTGAACCATCTTGATTGGTGGACCACTCCCGGCCTTACCCAAAATGGCAGTTTCTGGCCGGGCAGCACCATCGAATCAGAAGTGGCCCAACAAGCTTAGTTGGATGAACAGGCGGCGCTGTATGGTTGGAGATACTCCGGCCATTTGCCATCGCGGATACACTCTGCGATCCGGACACCTTCCAGACGTGCCTGGATAGTAGTATTGATCCTCTTCCCTCTCCTTCCTTGTGTCTGTTGAAACCCTCGACCACTTTGGGACCTCGGGATCTTATGATTACTTCACTGATCTACCAGTGAGCTTGCCGTCAGGCCACCCTTCTTTACTTATTCCACGCGCGTGTCCTCATAGTCGCATCATTATTATTGATTGTCCGCCTTGCTTTTCCCCAACCATCATCCGCCGGTGGACCCTGGTAGAGTTCAACTGCCTCCGAATTTTCCCTCCTTCACTGGCTCAGATCTGCCGGCTTACTTCTTCGGCCTTTCGATTGCATTCCCCACCCTTTTTCTCCGTCTCTTTTTTATCGCTCGCCTCTGGCCCTTTCCTTTAAACCCACCCTCTCCCGCACGCATCCTTCTCCTCCTCATCCGAACCATACTGCAGGGGTCGACATACACACGAAGGACATCACCATGTCTGCAAAGCCAGCAGACGCCTCCCGGCCTCGCGCCGCTGACCCCAAGAAGGTCCACATTGCCGACACTGTCATGACACGCGGCAACTGGTACAAGCATGTCAACTGGCTGAACGTCTTCCTCATCATCGGTATCCCCGTGTACGG